TAAATAAATAAATAAATAAAAATAGAAAAAAGAGGATCCAGCCCAGGATTCAGTTATCTGGCTTCTTTTCCCAAGGCAGCTTTGAACTGTATTTCTTAGCCCCTGGCATTTAAGAATCTTCAAACACCCAAGAAAACGAAAGAAGAACACTCTAAAGATGGATTTCAACTACATTTTGCTAATTAGTTTTTACTTCTTCCTTCAGAAAACAGTTTAACAAATGCAGAATAGTCACACAAGTTCAGTGTGTTCTTTAGAAATAGAAATCAAAGTTTCAAAGTACTTGGGTTTGATTCACAAATATTTTCCATCTTAACAGTTTTAGTTCCTGAGGTCTCCTCAAAATGTCTTTTCAGATTAGTTTTTTATTCACACATACAGGGTGGGACTAGCAGAATGCGTTCTTTTGGATGATGAAGGAAAATGTTTTTTAATCAACATCAGAATATTGATTATGGATGCCTGTCTGTGGGGTGGTTTGCACAGCAGTATTTTTAAAGGTAGTTTGAAAAGATTTCCGATACAGGTGCTGATATTCAAACAGAAGTGCTGAAGTTACATGGAACAGAGATGCTAAAGCTGGCATGAAATCATTTTGGATGTTAAAGGTCTGCATTATTTCTGGTTCTTCTCTGTATATTAAATAATAAGAGTACTTTAACAGGCGAAATGTATGGAAGTGAGTACTTTGGTACAGGACATTGGATTTCACCCAATAACTCTTTCACCAAATTAATAAATTATGATTTAACTAGGATCATATTTTTCTAGGAGATAATCAGGTTTGATTTAAAAACTTCAAATGATTGAGTGTCGACTATATCCTAAGTATATTATGGTAGTCGTTAATTACTCTTGGCATTAAAAAAAATCACTTTCTTATCTGAATTCATCCAGTCTCGACTTCTAAATACCAGCTGTTACTGTGCATTATCAGAAATAGTCTTCCCATTCAGGTGCTTCCATCCGGTGATCCTGTCATATTTTTACTTTCCCTGACATACAATAGATTGTACTTCCATAGTGTCTCACGTTGAGACAGGTTTCTCTGGCCTCCAAGCTTGTTTGATAAACCTTCCAGTTTGTCCAATGGCCTGTTTAAAGCAGGAACAGCAGAGCAGGGTAGCAGTTTTGGCTTTTCTTCTGCCCTGGAATATTCTATGTAGGCATCAAAAAGTGTTACTAATTGATGTTCACTTTACTTCGCTCTGTGTTACTTAGTGTACCCACTGAAATGTATAAATAACTCGAAGATGTTTCTCCTGTTTTGATTTTATTTCAAAGGCGTACAGTTATATTATCCAGCTACCTCAACAAATGAATCAAACCCCAGCAAAGTAATAGCACTACTGGCCCTTTACGTATTTCTGTTGCCTGTGTATCTGAGCAGAGTAATTGGATATTGTGAGGCATATGTATTAATGACTTGTTTTTGCTGTGTTTATTTTTCTTTGTGAAATGTCAGATGATGAGATGAAACTGTTCTTTTGAGCTCTGTATTAGGCCTGCTAGTTCTTGACTTTGCCAGATCTACTGGTATCATTGGGTAAGTGGTGCTTCTGAAGGTGCCACAGATGCCAAACCCTGATAAAATCCACCCTGTCTTGCTAATGAACACACAGACAGTTGTTCCCCATCTGCTGCCTCTGTCTGGAAGGTTAGGAAGCCCTTCCTTCCTGATCACAAAGGACGTAATTATTGTCTGTAGAGGAGTCAAGTACAAAGACAGTTCATCCAGTCTGACCGCTACTACACTGCAGGCCACCAAAGATTAACAGCTGCTTCTCCTTTGATTAGGTTAGGTAATAACAGTTACTTTAGTTAATAATTGGATGGATTCCCAGGCCATGTAATTCAGGTTTAGGCTGTCATTTTTTGCTGGCATGTTGCTGAGCTGTATTATTGGAATGGAGCCTGTAATCCTATTAGTCAGTTGTCACTCAAGCCATAGGAGAGGAGAAAAGGGGAATTCAAATCCATTAAGGTGTTGTAACAGGTAAATCAGCCGCACTTGGTGGGAGTGTGCAGGGAGCTTTCCTGAGTGTTTGTCATGATTTTAAAAAGAAAAGAGTAATTTTAAAACTTTATTAAAATGCTTAGTTCATAATTAATCCCTAATATTGTTACATGGTTCATTGTCGTTTCTGTTCAGTTTGCCACGTGTGCATTAATGTGCCTACATTGTGCTGAAGAGCTACGTGATTCATACACTGCTGTGTTGAAGTTAGTTAACGAATGCTCTAAATGACAAGTGTATAGTAGTCCAAAAATCACAAATGCACACTTAATATCACGTTAGCTGTGTTGACTTTCCTCCTGTACAAACAAGACTACTGTATTTTACAATGATGCAAAGAAAAACAAAAGCAAAGAAAACAACTTTTTTTTCTTGTATTAGTTTTGAGTGCAGCATCATCTGTTCTGACTACTACATCTCCAATGCTATTTTTTTAATGGTTAAGACAAATTTAGGTGGCATCTGCATGGCTTTTGTGCCTTCTCCAATCTCTGTTAAGAAATGCTTAGATGACAGTAATAATCATTTTTTTTCCCTACATGTTCTTTTGCCCCTGTTCTCCTGCATGACAAGGTAGCTTTAGAGCTTTGAAATCCTTTTATACATGCAATCAGGTTGTCTTAAAATGTTGTTTAAAATAGTTACGTATTTGTGAAAGTATGCATGAGCAAGGCAAAGCAGTTTCACTGTTTGAAAACCAAACTTAAATATCTTTTCTAATGTTCAACACACATAAGCCTCATTGTATTGACTGCCTTTGCTGAATAAGCTTCCTGATCTAACTGTGTGGCCACTCTGAAGGAACAGTTTCTATAGTGAAATTATGAAACAGTTTCATAAGCATCTAGCGAAGTAGTTCAAGAGAATAGGTTGGAAGTCTGGAGAATTCTCTCAGGCAGCAAAAATGTGCCATGCTGTTTTGTGCTCTTCCAGGCAGGGAGTTAATGTTATCTCGCGACAGGATCTGTCATTTTTCATATTCATGTGGTGTCTGATCTGCTCGGTGCTTTTGCTGCTACGAAAGTAAAAGTTGTAATTACCCAAACGGGTCTTTCATTCAGACACACTGAAATCTTTGATTTATTCATACAGGTCAGTGGGTAATACAAAGCAACAGAGAATGATAAGTGAGCATCAATTAGTAACAGGTTTCGGTTTCTGCATACAATTTAAAAAAGAAAATTATTGAGCAAGGGCTTTGAGTAACTTCTATGCCTCAGCCTACTTCTAATGTTTTACTACGCATCAGCTAACGTGAAGCTTTAACACTACAGAACATCAAGTGAATTTGGATCGTATTTTGAAGGATGTAGGTTAATGTTAGAAACAAATTGAATAAGATATCCTGCTCTCATGTGGTTATGCTTTAAGAAAGATTTCTTCAGATGAATATGTAAATACTTCAAAATTTGAAAACCATCTCAAGTAGAAATTAATTCAGATGTCTTAAAAACATGTTGAATTTATTTGGCTGCTGTATTTCAGGACAGTATGGCAATATTTTTCAGTCCTTGGGTGATTTAATACTGTTCTTTCCTTACACACAGCTTGTCTTCTACCTGAGGTCTCGTATTGTGGGTACCTGAGGAGTTGCCTGTGCATTTTTCACTGTTTTCTCAGATGGCACAGTCACACAGCATTTACTCTGAAAACATGAGTGATGTAATATTCAAGTGACTCTGCTCTTCTGTGGCTGGGGCATGCTTTCCCAGCAGTTCCCATCACCTGTGCTGACCCAAGGCCAGGCAGAGGAGCTGTCCCTGCAGCAGGGGCTGTTGGCAGAAGGGTGCCTGCGTGGCGCATGCGTACTGGCACATACTCACAAGCACCGTGTGCCAGCAGCTATTTCTGTAGTCGGCATTGTGTTTCAATAAATGGGCTAAAAGCTCTTGGGTTTCTCCATCCAGAAAGGACCCTTGGAGATAAATATGTTTGATAGCATGCCAAAAGCCAGTGAGATCAGTAGCATGCTCCTAATCTCTGGGTGGCAGTTTTACAGACCTCTGTAAGCGTGGTGAACAGTTTGCTCAAGGATCCTTCCCAGCTTTGCTTCCAGTTTGTGTTTCTTCCTCTTATTTAAGTTCCACCCCCACCCCTTTCATGAGCATACTTAGGGATTTATTTCCACGATAGCTACATGTCAAAATGCTGATTAAGTAATCTAGAGAGGAGAATAATAGGGATTAAAGCTGAATGATACTAAACTGGGAGAAATTACAAACTCACTTCAGCTTGATAGAAAGCTAGTAGTAATGGAAGTTCTTTACAATGTAGACTTGGGGGTTGCAAAGTATACTTGTGTTTTAGCAAAATACTGTACAAAACTAAAGGTTTAAGGATAAAATAACACTCTGCTTGGTGATGCTGTCAGACTTTCTTCCAGAGCAAGGACTGAATTTGCAGGGTCCACATGCTGTGAAATATGAAACCTGGTATCATCAGCGTAATGATGGCACTCACGTTTTAATGTGATCTGTCCAAGTGATTTTATGCACACTTAGAACAAATCAGGGAACAAGTCTGGTGGTTGTCTCCTTTCAAAAAAGTTTGTAAGAAAGAGGAAGTACCCATCTAGATACTGTCCGTATTCATTAAAACATATGAAAAGCATTGAAGTATAGCTACAAAAATAACAGTAACAGGTAAAGATTAACTTCATTGAAATCCCTAAAACATTCTGCCATTACTGAAAATTCTTACAGTGTTCATTTATAAGTGTTATCTTTATATAGTACATAGTATGGATGTGTTGTCTTTGATAAAGTAATGTGGGAAATTCAACTCCCGTGCCTTCTAAAAATACTCTTGCTTGTGCACGGGCATTTCACTGCTCTTTTTCAGAAGTTCTCAACATGATAAACACACATATTAAGGATTTCCTACACTGATATGAAAACTCAGGACAATAGTCTTCCAGTCATCTGTCATATCCAGGAATTTTATTAATTTCTATTGGTTTTCTTCTGTGTTTGTGTTTGTCTAGAACACAGCAGATCAAATAGCATTTCGGGCTGCAGGAGGACTGACGGCTCTTGAACATGTTCTTCAAGCAGTTACTTCTCCCACCAACCTGAATGCAATTTCACGGGTTCCTTTTAAGTAAGTATTAGCAGTCCTTCATTGGTCATTTGATATTACTAGAATATTTATTTCACATCTGCTGCTTCATTAGTGCTTCTTCTCATAGTCCAATGGTGAACTTCAAAGAAAAAGCATGCTCTATTCTGTGCTGCCACGGAAGGTGAAAGACATTTCCACTCTACTTCTAGTTTTCAAACTTTGTGACTTTTTTTCTAGCCATGATATGTTTGAACAATGGCATCCTCAATTGTACAAAATGAGAAAAGAGAAAGCAATTAAACAGAAGAGGCTACCTTTTATAAAAGGGGAAGTACATATCTTTTAAAGTTGATATGTAGAGATCTCTAGTGGAAGATCTCTTACATTTTCTTTCTAACAGCTTCTAATTCACTGTAGTCTGACTACTTTTAAAGTGAAGAGTTCTGAGATACTGCTGGCTGAAAGGGCTTCTACAAACTAAATCCAAATTCTTATGGATTAGAGGAATTCCCTTTTTATGCACATGAGAACAGAAGGGTTGAAATATCTAATCCTTGAGAAAAAAAAAAGGTAGTGACTAAACAGAATACCTGCAAAAACTGATAACTGGAAAAGCATGCTTTTTTCTCCCTAATCTCTGACTGTAGTTTGTCTACATTTAGAGGCCCATTTGTGCTGTCTGTCAGAGCAGAGTTAGCGACATTTTTAGTACAAGAACAACCAAGCCTGAGATACTCTGTTGTGTACCATTGTCATCATTTCTTTGTAAATGTATTTTAATATTCTAATTATTTGAATTTAACAAATACAGTGTGTGGTTTTAGATCTGTAGTGTCCATTATATGTTATGGGACAGGTGTAAAGTGCTAGGAAAGAACACTTAAGAAAAAATGTGCTCTTAATAGCCTATCTTTGCTCGTGAAAAAGAACAAAATTCCCACATTCCCATTAAGCCATGCAGAATGCACTTCCTGCAGGTCTAGCCAGTTCCACTGATGAGTGATTGTGAATTAGTGCTACAGTGAGCAGCTCAGCAGTAACTGCTGGGAGAATGAAAAATACTACTCAGTCTGTAATGAAGCATTTAAATAACGGTGTAATTATACTGACCTCTTGACCAAAGTGTTTGTGACTTGGAGGACTACCAAATGATCATCTTCTGCCAGAGCTCAGACCTCAAATTAAGATCAGCTGTTTACAGATAGTGAGACGTACTGTATTTGCAATTAGTGACATATTCTTTTAAGCACTGTGTGAAATTTAACATAAACAGGAATAAAATTATTTTAAACAGAAAGGCTCACGTTTTGGGAATGCGGTTGATACAGTTTCATTCATTCCTGCCATGAGAGCATGTTAAAAAATTGCTATAAGTTACTTACTGATGTTTTTATAAACAAGTGCAACATGCGAAGTAGATCTACTGTTGTTTCCTGAAGAAGCAAAGCAGTAGAGCTAATGCTATTATATTCCATTTCCTGCTGTTCTTAAGGCTGTGAAGCACCTTTGGTTTGCTCCATTCATGACTCAAATATAAAGCTTGCCTTTCTATGAACTATGGGAAAACATTTTCAAAATTTCGGTTGCTATTGGGTGTTAGCTTAAGCTATGTTTTCAGACTACATCCTTCCAATTTAATGCCTTGCTTGTTAGCATGAATGACTAAAGCACTTTGAAAATTTAACAGAAACTTTACATTGCCTGAAACGAACAAAAAAAATCTGCTGTTTGTTTGTGTTTAAATGCTAATATTCTGAAAAATATGAAAAGCATTCTATTCGTTGAATCAGTACAAATGTCCCAAAAGACTCTGAAGCAAAGTTGTTTTAAGAGAACATATGCAGTCATTTAGCAGTAAGCAGCAGCTTCTTCAGCATGTTAATGAGAGCCCTTGTTCTGTAGGCAATGCACAAAGAGCATAGAGACCTGCAATGAGCCAGGTTCCACTTTTACCATGATTTTCATGTGTTGTATTGCTGCTCAGAGAGAGCTTCCAGTTCTTAGTGCTGCAGCTGCAAAACCTGCCTGCAGCCGTGTGCCCTTTTCCATCTGTGAAGCGTACGGCAAGGCACCATTAGGACAGTCCCATTTCTGCCAAGGGCAGGAGCGTGTAAATGAAATAAAAGGGCAGAGGTGTAAATGAAATAGGTGGGCATATGACAGATTTTATTTAGACATCTTATAAATGAAACTAAGAATTTGCCTGTTGGGTCTTTGACCCATACAAATAAAAGTAGCAGATTTTTAATTTTTCAGCATACAGTTTTTGTGATGGAAGCCAGTATCAAACTTCAGCTGTTTCTCTGACTGTTAACAGACGTGTTGGAGAAGTACAATTTAGAGGTGTACAATTAGCTTTAAACTAACAAATTTAACATTAGGGCTTATGTCCAGTGCAGTACATTTTCAGCATTTGTCATACCTTTTCCACATGGCATTTTTCCCCTGTGAAACGGTTACCAAAATCAGAGTCAATACAATTCCCTAATTGGGAGATTGTACCTAACGTATACCATAGAGCTTACTGTTAAAACATTGCTATTCATCCTCTTATACTGTTCTAATGTGAGGATGAAAACATATGTAAATGATAAGGGAATAGAAGTTTTCAAATGTAATAATAGAATTTCAGGTCACTTAAACTTTTTAACAAAAGCTTTTCCTAGTTATCATGCAGTTTGCACTTCATGGGTTTGTAGGTCTAATTATTGCTTATAAGCTTTCCCCCTTATTATCTTCCATATGATTGCCACTCATATTTGTTAGACTCCTCGTATTCTATTTTATTATTGCCACTTCTCAAGACCATGTGCTGCAAAGTAGCAGTAAAAATACTCCATATAGGAATCACTATAGACAATTGAGAACACGTGGATGAATTCATAAAGAGATTAATGATTATAACCATACTACATTATAGAAATTTTGAAAGACTTTATTGAAAAAATAACTGTGGTGTTTGCTGCTAGAAATCACAAAATGGAATTCATATGCTTTGTGTGAATCCTCTGTACATTGATACTTTTCACCTTTGGAAATTGTGGATATGTCTGCTTCCCTAGCTATTCCTTTATATGGGTATAAATAAACTGTATTTTTCATGCAAAGGTGAAAAATGTAGTAAAACTAAAGTCTGTTAAGGCAACAGAATTTCAACTAGACAGTGGCCTTTTAAGACGGTCTGTCAGCAGCTGATGCATTGAGCTTGATTTAAATATTTCGATATAATGAAATATTACTCTCTCATAATGCATTCTGTTTGCAAATGCTTTTTTCTTAAGAAATAACAGAGAGTTCAACCAACAGTATTGTTAGTTGGCCTTTAGTTTGGACATTAAACAAATGTTAAACTTTTAAAGAAGAAAATGTTACACACTTTTCTCAATAGTCCCGTGTATCATAAGTCCTTAGTATTCATTTTATTTGGGTGGTATGATTTGTATTTCTTTTTGGTTTCATGGTATTTGTGAAAATAGAACCAAACAGTGAGCTTTGTAACCATCTGAAAGTATTGTAGATGTAGAAGTATGTTTGGAGGATGTACAGGTTGCACATAATTTAAAACAGAATCTTGATCTAAATGCAGGTTTATCAGACAGTAGTTTTTTAGCTTACGTTTGATTTCAGGAATACTGTTTTTTTTCTTGCTTTTCCATCCAGATCCTTTTTGAAAATTTCTAATGCAGTGCACGTTTATTTAGCTTTTTCTAAGGAGGAAGTATTTTAGCAAAACCTTTTTTTGGTATTAATTAAAAACTTGGTTGGAAAATACATGTGTAATGCATGCTAGAGGTATCGCAGTGAACTTGGTGTTGCTGCATGCGATGCAGACCCTCTGTGCTTGATTTCCGTGGTTCTCTTTCCCATATAGAAGAGTGTATTTTGTGCAGAATCTGCAACTCAACTGCCAAGAGCAAGCAGTAGTTCCAGAGGCTGTGACTTCTTGGGAACAGTTTGAAACGGGTCCAAATGTGGCTGTTTTGGAGAAAGCGTGTTAATGCTTATTAGTATGGAAAGTAATTTCACTGAGAGTATTTGACAGGTTCTTCAAATGTGTTTCTTTCAATGCCGAATGTTTGAAGGAGTTTCAAAAACAGAGACTGATCAGACTCTGTAGGCTTCTTTAAATTAAGAAAATAATTTGTATTGCCTATTTATTTTTTGATATGAGTTTGACATTTTTCTCTCCTTTGTGTTAAAATGATTTACATCCTGACTCCTTAAACTCTGAATCTAAAGAAGTACCAGTTTTCTCTGCTTAAAGGCGAAACAAGTTAAATTAACACTTTTCATTAATTGCCTTCCTGGCTTCCCTTAGCCAGCTATGCTTTGCTAAAGGACACTGCTGTTCTGAAAACTGTGTGCTCATACAAAATTTAGCCATGTGTACTCATCTTAAATTGGGAATGCCTGTTGTTTTGTGGTAAGGTTAAGCTATTTACAAGTAGGTGAGGAGATTACGTGGGCTATTATCTGCATCTCTCTTTCTCCAAAATCCTGGCAGTATGGTGCAGCTCAGAACTTTAATCCCATGTCTACAAGATAAAGCTTTATTATCAAAGATTTAACAATATGCCTGCTGTTCTGTACTACTGTCCAGATTGGTGGTTAGGCCAGCGGGACAGCAAATGCTGTGAAAAGATGTGACATTTATAAGACATATGATACATGTGGTATTGGGACAGCTTTTCTTCCCTTCAAAGAAAACACTGAAAAAAAATAAGAGAAAGCAATGGATTATAGTAGGTTTTATTATTGGTGTTAATATACAAATTAGTGTCCAGCTGCCTTATTTCTTAAACTTGCATTTTGTAATTTTCCTAAATTTCCTCAGTTCTCCACAGAAAAAGAAACAATGTACAACCAAATTTCAAGGAGTTTTGGACTTTTGATATCTTTCTTAAGCATGTACTGAAAAGCAAATGGGAGTTGCATAGCAAAACAATTTCATGATTTAAGATCAAGACCAGAACACAATTCTTGTCCCCCCTGTTGCTTGCATATTTGCTGTGGGCAACTCATTTATCCGCTTAGTGCCATGCTACATTACTGCCCTTAAAAGTTGTAACAAATCTGCAGACAAACTCGGCTTGTAAGATTTGTTTATTTCTCATTTGTAAAAGTACTTTGAGTTCCTTGGGTAACCAGCACCTTTAAATACAAATTAGCAGTAGTTGTACTGAACAAAGGAGGATTTCTATTACAAATTAAGACATAACAGAAACTGTCTTTATTATGATGTTGCATGCAGCTTCTCGTATCATTCACTTAAGGCAAAATACTATCACGGTAACACAGGTAGAACCATAATTAGATGTTTAAAAAGTAGAAAATAGCACCTATATAATATTGTGGATAGGATTGTTATAAACTCTTGTGTTGTTTTTTTCCCCAGTAAAAGTCATAGGGAGCTGAGAACTGTTTCTAGCTCATTCTTTGTAATTTTTACTTTATAAGCACACATTAAAGGAAGTAACTTGTGCTGTTACTATTCAAACAGTTCTGTAGGATTGTTCACTTTTTTTTTTTTTTTTTAACCTGAAGTGGAAAAGAAGCTTTCTTTTTCTAAGGTTATTCCCTCTAGAGAAACATTCACTGATGACTAGAATATAGAGGTATAAGGACATAAAGGTGCTCAAAAGAGAATGACATCTTTGCAAGAACAACATCTGAGACCTGTAGCATCTGTCTTTTTGCAGGCTGAATTCTTGCTGTCAGTCTCAGAGCTGGATTTCAAGCTCACAGAGCTCAAGAACAAAGCAATATTGCCTTACCATGCAATACAGAAATGAGTTTTATTGTTGAAAGTGGCTTTGTGAACTGTTACGAAGCTTTTGGCTTGAGCCAAATCCTACAATGAAATAATTGATAAGCCAGGGACAGGGGAACTTCTGTGGAAGCCTTTCAGATTCTGTCATACTTGCAGACACTCATGGGAATTGATTATTGCTTGTCATGCAATGTTTTTTTTCATAAGTAAAGTAAAATTTCAGGATGAATCTATGATCTGCTTTTGGAAGCATCTTGAAGGAGAATTGGTGCTGAGCTTTGCCTTATCTACTATTTGTGATGAGACTTTGCAGATGGTGCACATTTTTAATCAGGCATCTGTAAATAATGCGAAATATAGGCAAAATACTAATTGATTATGAGCCTCTAGTTCTTTTGAGGATTTCTGAATGTATCATAGATCCCAAGAGTGAAGTACAAGACTTCTTACATTCAAACTAATTTTTATTTACTTTTGTTTCAACTCACATTCTTACCTTGGTGATTTTTTAGCTATTCCACTATGCACTCACTGTGCCTGCTCTTTTTCAGTAACAGCTCGCCTCTCACTTGGTCTCAATCTGCTTTTAAATACCAACACTGCTCACTTTTTTCCACACCAGAGTGCCTAGTAATATTCAAAGTGGTTAAGAATTAGCCGTTTACAACGGCATTGACACATCCTAAATTTGATACCTTTTAGGTTTGTATTATTTAATTGCAAAATCGAGCTTTTATTTTGAATAAAAGTTAAGATTTGTCAACTTGTTTGTATAAGGTAAATTTGGCAGTGAAGATGTGCTGGCATCAAAGAAAATCGTATATGTACTGCTGAGATCTAGCTTGGAGATGTTGATTAAAATGAAACCTTTTACAATTCCATTGTATTCACGTAATATGAAAATAACACACAGATGCATGTTTTTGTCTAGTTTTAAGACAGATTTCTCTATTGGATCAAAGTTTGTTTACCATCAGGAGTGCTTTTATAATTGGATTTACTCTAGAGGAAAACCTTAAATCGGAGGGTAGACTTCTGTGGTTCAAGTGTGCATGCTGTCTAACATAGCTGTAAAGCTGATTTGCGGGTGTGATACGAAGTTTAGAGCAACATTGGTAATCGATAAACAGCTGTTTTACGTGTGAGGCTCTCCCTTTACTATTTCAAATAATTTTGCATCTCTTGAGATACGGGATTTGTACTTCAGAGCAATTCACTTCAGACAGGAGAGAAAGAAGAAGAAAAAAAAAAAAGACTGCCTGCTTTCAGTTTTCCATCCCAGAGAGTTTAACTGGTATTTAAATAAAGTTCTTGCTTGACATTCACAGCATTCAGCACTTGTCTCAGAGGCCTTGTGCAGAAATGGTGACAGTTGACAGCTGTTGTGTCCTTAATAAGATTAAAGTAAAGAAATTAGTTGTGCTCTCTGTAATCTGCCATTTAACACTGCAAACCACCTGGGGACTGCTTCTGTGCTGACACTTCCAATTTGGAATTTAGAAAAAAGTGTGGAACTGAATCATAGCTCTGAACGTGCTATGATCAGACTGTGTTTAGATGAATTGTAGTTAGCAAGCTTACGTTATCAATTAAAAGAACCCTCTTTATTGTTGTGAAAAATTAATTTGACATCCATTTGCTCACAGCACCTTTTCAAAACCATTACTTGAGTCTCTGAAAATTCAAATACCTTTTCTGACATAAGGTTCATCTGGGAAATAGAAAAGCGTGATGCATTATTACAGTTGAATTTGTTCTGTGTGTAAGTGGGAAGTTTCAGTGTTTTCAAATGCAAAATAAATGGCCCTTTTTGCAATTATGAAAATCCCCATATAGCAAAAAGAAAAAAACATTGCAGGGAGTTAACTAAATCAACTCACAGACTGCAGTGCTGTGAAAATGAGTTAACTTACCAAGTTCATATTTGACTCTTCAATGTTTATATTTAAATAGGATTCATCTTTATTTCAGAATGGCTCATAAAACAAAAGGTGCTGATTTTCTTTTCAGCTGAAAATAAAAATTACTGATGCAGTTCCATCTTTCTCACCAGGCAAACAGCCACCCAACCAGGGGAATCATCTGCTATAAAAAGTTAAAGGAGGTGCCTAATGATTTTTTTTTTAAAGTATTACTGAGAAAAGTGAAATAAATATGTAGTTAGGACAGGAAAAGAGACTCTTGTTGCAAGGGAGGTTTAAAAAATTGCCTATGAAGCATGCTAATTGAATTTTTATGGGTGTTATCATTGCAGGGTAAAAAATCAGGTGAAATAGGCAAAAATGAACCTGCCTTTTATCAATAAATAATGATTTAATATTGTGCTCAAGTCATGTGAACAGCAGATTGAAACTGATTTAATTAGGCGGAACAGTAAAATTAATTCCCAGTACAGTAAAGTGGATATAACTGGTAATATGGTGATACTCAGAATTATAAGAAAGGAAAAGTATAAACATTCCTTACATTTTTATAGATCAAAGCAAAAGTAGTGCTTCCTTTGTAAATTCAAAATTATTTCTCAAGTTGAAGAAAAGACATTTCAGAAATACACATGAAAAATGTTTACTCTGAATTTTCTGTCCTCTAAGCATTTGCAGCTTTTCTTGGTTTGCAAAATGCAATATATTTCATATGAGTTGCTTCTATTTCAGCTCTGGGGACCCACACTGTGTAATCAGGCGCCACACCAATGAACACCGCAGTCACTAAAGCAGCCATCCTCAGTTATTATGTAAATAACCTCCTGGTTTTAATGAAAGGAAAAGTTTCAGGCAAAAATAAAGCATCACGCTCAACTCTGTCTTAAGAAATAAGTTCCAATAGTCCACAGCTGTAATATTAGATAGCAGCTTTGATCACTCCTGTACAGCCACCTGTCAGTTGTTGTGGTCCCACTTTTGTAGGACCTTTTGGCAGTGCTCACAGTTTTTCTTCTGTGGAGCTTATTTGAACTTTTTCTGACATGTCCAGGAAAAAAAAAAGTTTTTTTCCTTTCAGTTTACTTTAGACAAACGGCTTGATTTGCTAACTCTCTGTATTTATTATTGTCTATATTTATGATGCATTTGTGTAGCGTGTGTGTATTTGTATAATAATAGTGATAGTTTTTGTGGTAAGCAAAGTTCAAGAAATGGATATTGTGTTTATTCTGGAATGGTGTTATGCTTGGTCAGATTTATCTTCTCTAGGAGTACGTTTATAGGACTGGTCCCAGCTTTCCTACCAATTCTGTTCAGAGAGCATTTCAGTTTGAGCAGAAGTAAGTGCAAGTGGTGCAGAGAATAACTGAGCATGGTTTGTACACCTGGAGCTGTCGGTTCCTTGTTGTTTGTGACTTCCAGTTCATTGCAAACCTGTTACCTCTTCCATCAGCTACAGGTGTAGGTCAAGTGATGCTATCAAAGGTGCACACCAACGCTTCAAGTTTGTGCAGTTCATAGTAAGTCAGTAGAAGCTTTTGTACAGGAACTTCACCTGCTCAGTTTTGCTTACTCAGTACAAGTTACTCAATCGTCCCCATTCCTTGCGTTTATTTATGGGCGCTGCAGAGTAGCTTCTCTCCGAAGCTTGTCCCAGAGTATTGTGAATTCCTTCGTTCAGGTGTTTTTCAGAAGGTTGTGCTAGGAGAGGGACCTCATACACAGACTACTTGTGTGTGGCACAATCATAAACCACAAAAAAAAGAATATTACATATCCAAATTATGCAGAATATCAACTGATTTCCTATGTTTTGTTATGTCTTTCTAGCATGCCCATTACTTGCTAGGTTTCTACTCTGAATGCCTGCATGCATTTAATGAGAATGCATATGAATATATATATACTTATATATATATTATATATATATATATATATTCATAATATACTTATGAAAATAAATTAAATTAGCACATATCACAAGAGTTCAGGCTTTTCAAATTTATATATTCCAAGGCATGTTATTTAGATATAAACCGTGCATATGGAAGAGTCCATACAGTGCAAGAGTCCTGCCTAGTATGGCTTTACTGTATTGAAGTTTCATTTTTCCCCTTAATTCATGTAATTTTTTTTTTTTTTTTTTTTTTTTACTTTTGTGTGGAACCCAAGTTTAAGAAAACTAATGTGAGTTACTAAAAAAGAAGTTTTGTGGTGGTCTTCCATTTATTTGCTCTTAATTGACCAAAGAAAAGAGTAACATCCTTTTTTTCTCTACTCCTGATCTTTTAGGTCACTCTGCAATACGGTAAATGCTTATGGCCTCACCTGTAGTAATTGCACAGAAAACTGCACCTATATTCTTTTCAGTAATAAGATCACTTTTCTAATGGACCTATTGATGCACCAGTTGACGGTATGTAAGCACTTTAATTTAGACTTTTTGTGTGTGTGTTTCACAAACATATTAAAGTACCTGGAGTGTAAGAGCTCCAGGGGATGCATGAGAATAAAACCTGAAATTAAAACAATAAGATTCTTTTGTTGTATGTATTTGGTAAGCTGTATGTGCTATACTTCTATACAAACAGATATATTTGCTTCTCCTAATAAATTCTACAGAAGCATACATACCAGGAACTCCAGTGAGTGGACAGTGTTCCAACTTTAACCCCTTTCAGGGCTTTCTTCTCTGATTCACCCTGTAGCAGTATTTGAAGTACAGAATGTTACGAATTGTCTGTGTGTGTCCAGTTCTGCTGTGTTTCAATACTGAAAAACCTAAGTCAGTTCAATATGTTGCTGAATATGTATTTACTGACATATTTAAATAGCAAAACTCTTTGACTGTGGAAGTTTTAATTTTCCAGTGTTTCATTTAATTTGAAATGTCATTAAATATTTTATTTGAAAACTCATTTTTAATTCATAGTGACCTGCTCATCATAAGATATTTAGTCTTGGTTTTCTACTTATAAATTGTGTGTATGTATTTTCATGAGCCAAGCAGTTTGTTAATTGAAAAGTTATGTACGTACTTTAAATAATTCAAATGACGCTGTTAGACTCAACAAGCCATAGGACTGTTGATGAACACTTTAAAAAGATAATCCAAAGGTCCTTGGCACAAACAAAGAAAACAGGAATGCAACCTGTGCGTTCTCCCCTAAGTAGCTGCCAGCTCATTGTTCTTCACCAAATCTTTCCAAGAGGATTCCAGGTATTAGATTTCAAATATACTTAGTGAAAGGTGCGTGTATTGTGCTGGGCCAGTCACAACACTGCTCGCTCTCTGCAGAGTGAGCCAGAGCACAGGCTCTGTGCTTAATTACACAAGAGATGAAATCCTTCAGCACTTCACAAGTGACAAGATTCATTCTGATGCCAGACACCTTCCCTTTTCTCGGTGTAGCACTGCACAAATGACCAGTCCTTCTTCTGAAAAAATACAGAGGGTGTTTCTAAGAAAATCTTGGCCACCTGAGAAGCCAGAAATACTGCATAAAAGAAATTTACTATGCTTAAAGCTGTTCTCAGTCTGTTGCCAAACACTACCATTGAATTGCAGCAAAACTGTAATTAAAGCCTTAAGTTTCCCTTGATCCACAGTGGACTTTTCTTTCCTGCACATAAAGTCTCTTATGTTCTCTTCAGGCAATGTTGGCCCTTGAACTGGGATATCTTCATAATTCTATGAAATATGTATTTAAGTCAAAATAAATAAAGTGCTGCGTTTCTAACTCCAATTTCTCTCTAGAAAATGTAAGAAGTCACATCAAGGTTGAGTTTTCCGTTTTTAAGAAAAAGAATAGGACAGATGGAAAGCACTTCTTTTAATTGGATCAAACTCTGAACACCAGAATATTAAAGGACACCCCCTTCCCCCCCCAAAGCATTTAACTGCCTGCAGTGTTCAGAGTTTAATGAGCTGTACGGTGCTGCCTCTCTCGTGTATCTTCCTACATACAGTGGGAAAATAAACCACAAGCAATACTGGGAGTAAAAAAGAGAACATACACTTGCAAGGTTTTAACAAATTGTGCTAATATTTGCTGAATACAGAAAGATTCAAGTTCTGAAAAAGCTTTAAATATATTCTTAAATGCAGCAAGTATCAACCTTACTTTCAAGTAATATAAGGAGATTATAGTTTTTATTTTATGCCTCCAAATATGATTCCATGTCAGCTTCACTTCCTAAAACTCAGGGCTATCCATTTTAAAGAATCAGATTTAAAACAATCATTTTTCATTGGTGGCAAAATGTTCATTTGCTTTACACAGGTGTAATATATTTCTCTTCAAATAAAATACTACTTGAAGAACAACAATTTTTGGTTTCCAATGAGAGCATGGGTACCAAAGGATCATTGATAGAAAATCAACTGTATTAAAAAAAAAAAAAGTGAAAGCTTTATCCGTACCTTCTGAAGCCTGTAGACTTCCCATGCAGTTTCCATTTCTTCTGTTCACTAGCTATTACACTGAAAGTCCAACATCCTGTAAATACTATTTTTAAAGCATACACTTTCCAGAATGTTTTTGAGGCAAGCCCAGTGATGACTAGCAATTGAATGCTTTAAAAAACTTGAACTTTCCATTTAGGTTTAACAGCTCAATATTTGAAAGGATTCATGGCTGTGAAGGATTATACTGTCTACAGGAAAAATAAAAACATAAATGAGTTTTCAGTGATAGCTCTACATTGCTAACTGGAAACTGTATATTTTTGTTAGTTAAAAAAAAAAAAAAAGGCACATCAATATACAGGAGTGCTTGTGGTGACATGAGTCAGAATGGAGTAGCATTTTTAGCTATATTAAATGTGTGCCTAAGTGCTTTACTGGATTGGGGCCATGTTGTTCAGCATCTTGCCGGGTTAAGTCCTAGATGCTGGGCACAGCTGAAGAGCTGACAGCAGCTCTGCACAAACAAGGGATTCCCTGCACAAGAGGAATTCTCTGCTGAATGACTGAACTCTTTTATGGAGACTGTACCAGAACTGAGAATCTGGTCATCAGAGCCTTTTGTGTCAAGAACTGATTTAAAGCAAGTAAGAGTCTTGATGATGTCCAGTCTGGGTGGTCGTCATAAATGGTAAAGTACTGATGAGATGTTGAATGTGTCAGATGACTGAACACTGGTTATGTTTTTCCTGTGTTTCCCTTGTAATTAAAACATGCTTTATACCAATTTACTTGACAGGTCATTTTAGGTATGTAGTTACTTGTAGATTTGTCAGTTAAATTGTTAAACCTCTTAAACCTTCTAAATAGAAGTGGGGAGTGTTTTAGTGTTTACTTATCCAAAACCAAACAATAGTTTCTATGAATATCATTAACTTCTGTCGTAATCAACAAACACAAATCAGATCTTGAAAGCTTTCACAATTATACTATTACATCTTATGATTTCCTACCCTCTTGCTCAAAACAATCATCAACATGCAGTAATACATCACTTTTTCCAAGCATCCCAGTTAATGTTGAACATAAATCTTGACAGGTTTTCATACTCTTCTATTAATTACTTCTTCAGTAAGAGTTGATTTTTTTTGTTGCTCATTGAGTTCATATAAAGGGAAAATAAGGTAGGAATGAAGCTCAATTTCTCCTATTCTCTGTAAAACAGTATTTCCTTTTATCTCCTCTCTGACATAACACCACAGAAAAAAATGCATTTGTTCTCACTTTGCATTAATACACCCACAATATACACATTTTTCCCCAAAAGTCAAATGTGAAAAACAGATCTGTAGTAAGTAATGAATTATACTGTGTCGTATCTATTTATTTTCCAAATTAGGAGGAGAAGTTTTATACTGAAGCATGAAGTTATCTAACTACGAATTCTATATTTAGAATATAGAGTTCTCATACATCCAACTAGAAGTGAAAAAACAGACTTTATCTGTTTACAGTATATTCATTACAGCAACCGGAACGGCCTACTGCAAGATATTATTAAATCTTTTAAGCAATGTGTTATAAATACTTTTTTTTTAGCATAGGTGAGAAAGCAACGAATAACATTTGTTAGCCTTGTTTTTAAGATCTTGTGTTCCTAGTACAAAGTTGCCACATTTAAATTGATTGATACCTTACAAAGCCTAATCCATCTATTCAGCAGGCAACTGGAATCATTAGGCATGAATGAATTATTTTGCTCAGCAGAAGTTAGTGGAGTGACTTAGTTATTTTTCCTATTGAACTTGAATAAGCAGCTAAAGACTTCTCACTTGCTCACTTGGCTTATCACCAGGAACAGACTACTACAATGAGTTTTAAGTACCAACAGAAGGCTCAGAGCTAATGAATAATAAAGAAATGTGCATGTTGTTCTTTGTCACCAAGTGTTACCAAATCCCTACTGATACCTATACAGGGAGGAACAATTTCCTGTGATCTCACTCGCATATATAGCAGGTATAAATGATTTCAACCTGGAATGAAAATAAAATTCCAGCCGATACTGATTACGGGTTATGGTGTGGAAAGTCTCAGGTTTTCTTATAAAATTGCCTCCGAGGAAGTCTGTTGGTACATGGAGTCCAGCGCTGGTAAGCACAGTGAACGTAGCTGGGACCCCTGTGTCTTGATTGATGTAGCTGTGTTGCCAGTGCTCTCTCTGTAAAACTGCCCAGCTTCCCCACACACCACGCTTACTGTTTGGAGGTTTCTCCCTGTTCGTCTAACAGGGCAGAGTTTCAGCTGGTCTAAATTATCTTGGATTGCAGAAATGGGGAAAACAAGCAAAAAACATTCCACAAGGGTTTCTTCACAGGTGTTTGGATCCTGCATATAGATTTGTTTTCAGATTTACATGCTGTACATCTGAACATCTCTGCTGGTTTTAACAGTGGGCTCTAGATAAATACTAGTGATTAGGGAAAAATAAGTTCTGTTCTTCTGAGGTCTCTTCAGTGAGAGCTGCGTGTTGTGCTTCATCTGTGATTATCATCTGTGATTGACAAGTGCAATGGTCATAAGGTGGAAGCTAACTGAATACCTCTTCATAGACTGGAAAAAAATTGCATTCTCCAATATGCCTCATCAATGCTACAAGTCCATCAGGGATTACATCTCATTGCAAAGATCATTCCTATTGCCAAAAAGTGTATTGCCTTTTTCTCTGAAGAACAACAGATGTGTTTGGTCTATCACAAGAACGTATGTCTTCCAAAATAGTTATTTTTGCAGGGATGTTGAGTAACCAGTTAATGGTACATTGTTTTTCCAGAGACAAGCAGGGGATGGCTGTGCAACAGTGAAGGCTGTTCCTTCCACAGAAGAGGAATCTTTTCTCTTATTACTCAACACTTCTGTATCCTAGACATATGTCTTTGTGACAACACAATGTAGTACTCAAAATCAACTATTTCATTAGTTCATTTATTCGGTTATTTAAAAAAAAAATCTTTTGTTAGTGACTTATCAAAAATTCACTGTATGTATATTGTACAAAAAACATTTTGATGAAATACTCTACCACTGTAAAGCTTCATTCAGTTCTCATGTACTAAATGCTATTTTGAATTGATTTATGATTTCAAATGATAGTACCTGTTTAGAGGAGTATAGACCTTTTCTTTTACCTGAAATACTTAAACGTCTTTCAGTACTACTAGAATATGCTACTTAATTTCGCTGTACTCATATGCAACTTTCTTAGTGCTTTTCTATGAACTTTGGTTATTCTTACTGAATTGTAGCTGTCCTTTTTCTTTTTTTTTTTTTCCTTAGGTTAATGTTCCAGATGACCATAATGCTACTTCAGGAAGAAGTGCAAATAAGCAGGTGTTCGAAGGTCTAACAACAGGACTTCTGAGGATAACTGCCATGATTTTCAGATGCCTAATCTCCAGCTTCCCAGATGGGAACAACTACTCTACAGCACTGAAGATAATACAGGAAGTGAAGAGCAAATCCTCACAAGTGGAAGCATTCAACAGCAGAGTCCAAGACCTGATCAGGTTTAAAAAACATTTTGAAATGTTTTTAATCCTACTTTATTACAGAGGATTAAAATTACATTAATTTAAGAAAGGAACAAACTTCTTTAATTCTTAAGTTAGTAAAAGTAGTGTGTGTGTGTAGTGTAGTCAAAAGTCAGTCTAGTGAAGTGCTAAATTCTCAATCAAAAAGTTCTTCAAAAAATTAAGACAAATACAGAAAACCAGAAATCTTTTAGTTCTGAAGTTTTATATTCATGCAGAAAAAGAGATATTTCTATATTTCTGCATGGAGAAATATCAGGATTACTGTATATCTGTGGAAGGTAAAAATGCATTGTTTTTTGAGTGACATTTTATAGATGAATTTATTTACACTGGCTTTCAGAAGTTCTTTGTGCATCAATAGGCTGTTTGGAATTAGTCCTAGTAGCAAATATCACTTCAGTTGTGTTCTTTCATCTAAACCATTAGACAAATAAAATGAGCCCCAGTGTTAATCTCTTCCATACTCTGCACTTTTTCTTGGTTTCCACAGACCTTGTTAATCCTAACATTTTTAGCTGCTGGATGGCTTATATAGCATCCTAATAATTTAGGTTTCTATACTTTTTTTCCTTTTTGTGTCCTTTCTGTAGGTTTCTTCCCCGATTAGCATGGAGTCAGGTTCCTTTTTTCCATATTTTCTCTGAATTCTCTGTGCCTGACTGTATGCCCTTTCCCCTTGTGATTCTGGATAACATGCATGCCTTCATGTCAGTTTGCCATACAATATGTACTTCCTGCTACAAAGATTACCCAATAATTTCTATAATTTGATTTCAGCTCTTAAAACGGATCTATATTTTAATAGCAATTTTCCTTTCTAAGGATATGCCTTAAGTAAAATTTCAATCAAAATAACTCAGTGAATCTAGTAGTAGAGTAAAAGAAAATGCATTGTTTTGCTCATTTTTACTTGAAACGTTCTAGTTCTTTGGTTTTAAAAAAAAAAAGACTTGAACCTGGACAAAAAAAAGTTATTTTGACTTGTGGCTGTCCCCATGATAACTATTTAATTTGGTATACTCAAGTTTGTAATTAAAGCCTTCATGAGCTGCCTGCATTGAAAAGGAATTTCCCTCAGGCTTTGAAGGTAGAGAGAATATCTTTGTATTAGATCAACAGTACAGCTGGGGCTAGATTTTAGATGCTACTTTTCAGGTAGTTCTCAGAGTACAGCTTTTCATACAGTTTTCACATGAAGTTTTTCATACAGCTCCTGAGGAGGAGAGAGCTCATACATAATTAGGGAAACTGATTTTAAAACCACTGCATCTTGTATTGCTAAAGTGGGAGAGTACCTAGCAAGACAGATCAGGTTGGTAGAAAGGAAAAATGTAGACTTCTGTTTGATTGTTGAATGTTGAGTTTGAGAACGGGATTGAATCCTTTGTGTGACATAACATTCCTATGCAGTGCTACACAAAATCTCTTAAACTTTTTATGCATGTTCACTAATTTATGAATCCTAACTTGAAAGCCGGATTTGATTTACAGTAGTGCTGAGCACGTTGAACAGCAAGTCAGTGGGAGCTATACTTCAGAATATATGATGTCCTATGTAATGCCAAATACTGTTAAAACAAGATCATAGGTCTCTCAAATACACAAAATAAGACATACATAGATTTAGTGTGTTTGTGCTTCTGTTTCTTACATGGAAAATGTGGGTAATTCCAGCTCCTCAGCATACAGGGATGCTATAAAAATAAAATACATCATGACTGTAAAGCTTACAGGTAAAGTATTCTTGAAGTACTGCAGAAAAGTGAGTGAGAAAATTACTTTATCTTGAAATCTCTTATTTCTAAAGTATAAATTTGACGATAAGAAATTGTAGCATTCCTTTTTGATACTTACACTTGATGATCTCACACCCATGAATTAGATTGCATGCCTGAAATCTAATGTATTACCTCAAAATTTGGTAAGCATGACTGCAAACACCCTAAAGCTGTATGATTAGCTAGCCCATTTATTTTTGAACCCCACTACAATATTTACCTGAATGACTTCTTGTGGCATCAAATTCTACAAATTAGATACTTTTATATAGATCTTTTTTTAAAAAAGGTACTCTGACCAAGTACTTTTTTTAATAGACTGACTTTTTCATTGTGGCATTTAATGTATCCTAAATTCCTGCAATTTCTCATTGCTAGTAGTTATTCTGATAACCCTTAAAAAAAAAAAAAAAAAAACTGTTCTTGTTAGCAGATGCTCAGAATACATTTCTAAGGCTGCTTATACTCTGTCATGATAATAAATGTATCACGACTTTAAAGTCTTTGAATTATATACAGCCTCATGGCCCACAGCAACTTCACATGGAAAGCTCCTGTTCACTGAATTTCCAGTGTATATGTGTCACGGTTAACCCAAATGATCCATTCTTTTTCTGTTTCAATCAAGTTCGTGGTTGTGAGTGTGCTTTGGGGTTTGTTATGATTTTATTAAGTAGTGTAGGCATTATAAAGCTAAAGACAAATCCCTTTGCTTATCGCTAATGCCTATTAAGTAAAGTAAGAAATGCATTATTCAACAATATACTGTTTGCTAAAAGTGTATCATTTCAGTAGTAAATAATATAAATAGTCATCAGTGCATCTTCAGCCTTCTGAAGTGAAATACTGGTGGCATGCTACTGAAACTGTGACACAGGAAGAATTTTCAGGCTTTTCAAAGTCTGGTGTGATGCTGATGGATACAAGAAAGGACAGCTGGAGGAGGAAAGCAAAACAAACAGTTGCCATAGATACCAGTGACCTCTAAAACTTAATTGTTCTTATGTAGCCTGCTTTCTCCCCAAACAGGTTTTGAAAGAGTGTGAAATTTCAGGATGTTGTATTCTCCCCATTTAGGAATGGGAGGGTGGGAGGTCTGCTTATTGATATTGCTGCTGAACAGACATCTGACACTGGCTGGGCCAAGCACAGGTATACCCTTAAGCTAGGAAGACATGTGAGAATCCAGCTGGGTCCCTCACCTGAGGCACTTTAAGGGATCTGTTTATAAATGGAGAAAGAAAGGCACGATGACAAGGTAATAGTGCAATTACGAAAAAAAAGAATAGGCATTTCAAACTAGTCAAAAACAGACAGATTGTATTATTAATGAGAATCTTTCACCTCCAGGTCATTGTATCGTGTATCCTTATGGAATTGATTAAATGAGAGTTTTAGGAAAATTGGGGAAGAAAGAGGAAAGTCAATTTTTTTTCTCCTATATGGGAAAACTAGACCTGATGCATAAACAATTGTTTACATGCTGGGTGTCAAAAGAGTAGCCAAATTACTGAAACTATGCTACTGTGGGTGAAAATACTGAGATGGAGACAATAGATTAGAGAGCTTTGACATTCCACTCGTCTGTATGTTCAGCTTCAAGGAAGGCAGTGCTTCGTGTGTCTATCATTGACCCAGGTGCCCTTAGAGAGTAGTCCCAATAGACTGAAAGCTGGCAGCTATTTCTTCTCTGCTAAAAGAGTGGCTGCTGACACCACTTGGTATCCAGGTGTGGGTGTAAAGTAAGGTGGACAATGAACACATTTTGTAGAAGTCAAACGTTTTTCCTAGGGAAAAAAGGAAAAGAGCATTGACTAGAATACTTGTGCCTTTTTGTAAGTAATTGTCTATCAATGTTAGCTGCATTTTATTTTCTCCTTCTTGCTTTCCCCTCCTATATCACGGAGAGATTTCCAGCACTCAGCATTTCTCTGTGACTGTGATGTATCTAACACCCAGCTCTGTTCCTGGAATCACTGTGCTAGTACTGGAGAGCGTGTTTATCACTTGTATGATCAGGTGGATTGCTTAGATCAAAACCTGCAAGAAATCTAATGCTAGTAGCCTTTCATGTTGCTAAACAGAAAAATCAAACTTACCTGAGCTATTTTAACTGCTGTATTTCAGCAGCGGTAAGGATCTTTCGTATTGCAGACTGACTTCTTGCTTTACACACAGTGTATTTTTATTCTAAATTACTTTCATTGCTTCTAAAAGCTTTGTGTCAGCAGGTTAAGCTTTGGCAGAAAGTCTAGCCCTGAAGAGAGGTTAGTCTTTGAGCAAGAAGGATACCTGGAAAGTGGAGAGACTTTCTTCCCTAATCTTAGAAGTCCACGTTTTTTCAAAATCAGACTGTAAGATATGTGGAAGAAAAATTTTTTTAATTAGTATTTGTATAGCCACATGGGACATTCATGATCTAATGAATCTTTATTTAGTAGAATCATTACTTTAATAATATTCCATACTTCAATCGCATCAGGATGCACTTTATGTCGTAGAAACATGCAGACAATGGTGTTTCCATCCCAGGGAATCCCATAGTCTCTAACAAGTGGAGCTGACAAGCAAGTAGGTAGAATAGCTGATAGGATGGAATAATATCAATAATAGGAAGGTTTAGAACAGACTGTCAGTGTAAAAACAGCAAATCCGTGTCTGAAAGCAATCCTAGTTCCTCATGTCTATGAAGTCAGATTGAGTCGCAGAATATAAAAGCAGTTCTTCAGATTTTGACAAGAGATTTCTCCCAGTTGCTAAAAGTGGAGTGGAGGAAAACAAGGAAAAACAAAGAAACAGGAGAAAGAAGTGATTGAAGCTTGAAATTTGTCTCCACAAAGGAAGTTGATCTCACATAGTCAGCAGAATGAACAGTTGAGATGGGGTAAAGTCTGAGAAGCTGAATGTTTGTGGTAGAAAAAGGTGATATCAGCAAAGTGATGTGGAAAAAAAAAAAAAGACCCGTGTGCACTGTTTAAGTGGTATCAATAATGATCCAATTGTGAGAATAGCTGGTATAGACAGAACTTGGTGTCAGTGTACAGGGACAAACAATTTTTGGCATGGGTTTCCAAGCTCTTAGAAATTCAAAGAATCTTCATCAACAGAGAGGGTGGTGATGTGACCTACTCTGATAATATGAAAGAAAAAGGTAGCTTTTTGTTTTAAAAAAGAAATGAAGTCACTAACATGGTTTTCTCTGTGTTGAGTTTTGGTTGAGCTCCTGAGGAGGCTTTCTGATCCTTCCTGATAGTGGGAGGTTGTTACCTGTGTGTTCTTTTAGTCTGCACTAAAAGACTGTTAGACTGTTGCACATAGTCTAGAAAGAAAAAGAAAAATAAAAAATAATAAAAAAAAAAGCTGGGCAGTAGTTGTTATGATATACGTATTGCAATAAAACGTTATCTGTGTAACATCATTGTCGTCTTGAGTTAGTGTGTTCTACCAAGTTCAACTCTTCATGCTAAAAAGAAATTGTGCTGCTGCAGAGCTATCAAGACTATTATAAATCATTTAACTATGGCAAAATTCCATTGTCCTTCTAGGACTATGGTAAAATAAACACTTACATTCATCTTTCTTGTACAGTATAATATAAATTATCGTGCAACAGACAGTTCTCCTAACAAAAACTACTGCTAGCTACAGAGTACCAGATTTTAAGTTACTGTAATTTGAATTGTTTTATTGAACCCTTTAAGAAATCATAACCTACATTTTGTATGATTTGATAGTAGAGGAGCAGAAATTACTTTGTAAAGTCATCAAAACTGTCACAGGACTGTTTTTTAATACAATTTCTCATCTGTTTCTAGTTATGTGGTGAACATAGGATTGATAGACAAGTTGTGTTGCTGTTTCCTCTCCGTTCAAGGCCCCATTGATGAGAATCCAAAAATAGCAACTTTTCTACAAAATGCCACAGCAGTGTTGCATGGAATATGTCAACTGTGTTTTGCTGTCAATGGAAGGTAGGTGCATTTGGTCTCTCATCTCTAATATGTTCATCAGGCAGCAGCTGGTGTAACTCCTTGCCAACACAGCGTTCATGGAAGTGAGCATTCTGGTGAGATTATTAAACAGAACCCGTCTTAGTTGCACAGCAATAACTGGTAGAGAAACAGTGCAGGAAATTCACTCTGCTCACCCTGTCACCACTGAATTGTATTCAGTTACCCACACTGTGTCTTGATTCTTGTAAGTCATTTATGAGAATTAAAAACCTTATCTCCTTTACTCATCGTTACAGAGAGGGTTTTGTCATTATTAATTTTCAATGACCAGTCCTAAGGACTTCAAGAGATATTATCAACTAAAATCAAGTCTTAATTGATTTGTTTTTTTGCACAGCCAAATTCAGCTCTTGTTCTTTAAAATACCATTGCAAGTAAGGGAATGATATTTTATGAAAAGAAAAGTATTACTAGATTTGTCGGAATTTTCTAATGCAAAATGTACATTACTGGAACCTAACTGAGGCTGACGAGAGTGTGCATTTGGTACATTTCTGTCAGCAAATCTGGAATTTTGCAGACTTGGACAGCCTGGCTCTGTCAAAGTCTAAATTTCAGAGCTTCAAGGTCCATGCATTAGAACCTGCCACTATTAGACTGTTACATGTTTCAGGGAAGATGATGCTGACAGAACTTGACAATGAATGCCTGAAGGGAGAAGTGATGCTAGTGCTGAAGAACAAAAATTAATACAAAATAAATTAAGAAACAAAGCTGCAGGTAAAAGTTGTTGCTGGTAACTCAGGGACACAGGCACATGGAAAAAGAACTACAAGAAATATGAGCCCAAAGAGACCATCCCAACTTATTGAAATTTCCCTTTCTGAAAGCTGCCAACTTGGCATTTTACATTCCAGGACAGCACTGCCAGAAGTCAAATGCATACTAAAAAAATTCATCTTTCTCTTAGAGGAATAATAATTCTAGCTACAAGAGTGAGTAATATTATATTTGCAATTTCTGAAGCAGGCCTATGCTTAACCCAAGATACTAGAGATCTTTGGACCCCAAAATAATACAGCACTGTGCAAGTACTTCTTTCAAGAGCATCTGTACTTTGTAGCAAAATAATTTCCGAGGGTTGAGCATTTTTCTTCACAGTCACATCAAGATGTCTGATCACATAACAGCAACGCTTTTGATTTTATCCAAAGGTGCTGGTGGTTCTCGGTTTCCAGGTTGTTCTTTTGAGCATGGAAAGAAATGAGAGGAATGAACTTGCATATTTCAAAACTGTTGCCTTTCACTTTTAGATCAAAAGCTATAGTGTAACTGATTTAAAAGGCAGCTTAAATATCTTTAATCACCTGATGCACTCTCATTGAAGAAGTGAATGTGGAGTGTAATTCTGCCATGTTAGTAACTCCATAGTATTCAGGATGATTTAAATGGAGAAAAAAATGGTTGCCAAATACAGGTTGATACGTCAGAAACAGAGTTCAAATTTATTGAATTCTTAAATATGTCACAACAAAGTAGTGCATTTTGTGTGGTACATGATCCGTAGCACAAAAGACGGGCTCTCTATCTGAGAAATCGTTGCCTCTTTCATTTGTGGCAAATAGCGGTAGGAAGCAGTGCAGCCTGTTCAGTCAGAATATGCACTATTTCTGAATCTCTGCTCAGTTGATACATTCCTCAGCACCAAACCAGCATGCCATGTCATACCCCTCTGTATATTGGAGTAATTAACCAATCTGTTCATAATGCCTTTGATATTGTTATCTAGAGGAAGAGAAGTCTAGTCAGTAGTACCAGTTCTCTGACACTGTAGCACAAGAAGTTTTGCCAAAATAGATACACTGGTATTAGGCTTTCCCCACTGTTGCAAGAGCAATTTTAAATTCATCTTTTGTTGTATCCCCTACAAATACTGTTTCCAGGTTGGGAACTTCTTCCTGCACAATTCATTTGGTTTGTTTTTCTGATAGGACTGCTTTAGGCTGTTATTTCTCACATAAAATGTTGTCATCCCATACTAAAGGCATTAGGGTATTTTTGTATGGTGCTCTCTGTACCATGTGTGGATCTTAGCAGTGTGGTGGGACGTTGCTAGGATTTTCTCACAAGGAAGTTGTTCACACCTGGACCTCCAGGCTCTCAAACCATCCACAGTGCCTGCACCAATGAAATCCTTTACAAGCTGGAAATGGCCAAATGCTGGGTGATCCTCTTCACTTGCTTTCAGACAGCACCAGGCTGTTGTGACCTTTATTGCAGCTCTAATCTAGGCTATCCATAGAGGGACAGAAGTTAAATACTGTAACTCAGGTTTTAAACGATTAAGAGATCCTGCCCTGTGGGTACAAATTGTGTATTTCCAGAGCTCAGGTGTAGGAAAAGCTGCCAATCCAGACTTTCCTGTCTTCTCCACAACACTATTTCATGAAACACCAAAATTTAGCAAAATGGTTCTTACTCAAGCTCTAAAATGATATCCAATGTTTGCTTGGCACTTACTTCATGGAAAACTATTTTATAGCCTGGAAAGAGTTTTCAGCCAAGTTCCTACCTGCAGGTCTGTATCAGCAACTTCATGCCAGACAGTCCACCTCCTTGTTTTAAAAGAATGATGACCTTCACTGTTCTGATTCTGTTTCCATTAATTGATGAAGATCTACAGGTTGGAGTGGTTGCAGGCAACATGTCATAACAATAGTGATTAACAGAGAATATTGTCAAGTTTTATCATATATGTATGTCAGCGTGAAATGTTAAATGAGGTGTATGATTGATATAAAGTAGAAGATAAAATTTTGAGACATAAACTAAGATACATTTTTTATTCCCATGGTGGACTTGGGGGAAAAAAGTCCAAAATCATGGAGTAAGATACAATAAAGGAAAGTCTTGCTAATATAGAAGCATAAATTGGAGGATTCTCAATTTTAACATCATAAAAAGTTATTGAAATGAGGGAATCCATTCTGAATATATGTTATTACTTATTGTAGGAGAATAATTTTCTTTTCATTTGTGGTCAAGGTCTTTAAAAAGATTTAACTGATATTGATCTTCACAAATACTCTTTTTTGGTACTGGCTAATAAATGCTAGATTGATTATTTTAATTGAAGCTTTGCAGTGGATGTGATAGCACATTTTCTAAACACTCTGTAATATCTATAAAAGATCATTTGTTGAAAACCTTAGTAACTTGTAACCCCACATGAACCTTGTTTTGATAACTTTTACGCCCTCATCAGTTATGCAATGAGAATCATTACGGGCTGCTTCAGACTGGATGTCTCATTTTTTCTTAAGCTGTGTTACGTCCATTACTAGCAACAGAGGTGAGAGCTCTTTTCCCCCAAAGAGTTGAAAGAAAAAAAAAAAAGTGTATGAGAGCTGAAAATAGGGCATTGTCTCTTACTCTGTGTAGTGAGATTTCATAAAGTGCAGCACGTCTGATTATCAGTATCTCTGTTTGCTGAGCTAAAGATGAACCTGACATTTGCTATGATTCAAAAATTGCAGCCATGATAACGTTTAACTGATTCGCTTGCCATTATGAGTAGAAAAAGCAGAGAGCTGTTTATTACCTGAAAGAAAGCAAAACATTTGGTAGACTTTACACAGAATAACTGTGGCTGCATCTTGCAAGTAATAGGCCTTCAAATCATGAAGCTTCTTGGGGCATCAACTTAAACAAAAATTTGCTATTGCGTTGATGCAAGCGACATCTGCAAGCTCCCGTACTAATCTGGGAGAGTAGGATGTCATAGCAGAACGGTAGCTAAGTTGTTACTGTTGTGTGTTATCTCAACACAGTGCTGGGATGCATATAAATCTGTGTCAACAGCTAGCAAAGTTGTGGATTACAAGCTGCAGTAACAGAAAGCTGTAGATGTTTTATCCTGGAAAATAGCGACTGTCACATCACAGATATGCAAGGAAGTAGTCCGGTCTGTTTTCAGTTTTATTACAGTAATTCAGATAACGTATGTTTTGGCTGCTGAATGGCAAATCAGATGCAAGCCCCCTTGAATTTGGCGTGTGCTTCTCACTGCTTCCAACAGGCAGCAGATCCAGCAAGTACTGTAAACTGACTAAAACTTGTTCCTGAAATTACTGAAGGCTTTCAAATCATCTGTTTTACACAGTAATGTGATTCCTAGCTTAATAATGGGATTTATAACAGTCTGACAGGTGCTAAATACTTCTTTCTACTTCTTTTATTATTTTTTCCTCTTTTTCAGCATCTCTTTCTCAATGAAAGAATGTAGAAGTAAAAGATACAGATGATAGGTTTTAAATTCTAATAATACAGAAAAATAGATATATGTATTCTAAGCCTTTTGAAAACCCATGTTCCCATTTGGCTCCCTGTATTTAATCAGGAGCATATATTTCAAATGTACAAACAATATAATGTATACCCTAAGAGAGGTTTGCTTGTTAGCTCAGTCAGTTTTTAAAACAATATATTTTCAGATATAAACAGTTTGCGTACATTGAAGCTTGGAGAAATTGTAGTTTTATGCTTGTTCTACAGAGTATGCTGTTTCTCATCAAGCTGTATTAAATCCCTGTTTTAATAAATAGTGGTGTATTTTAAGCAATGAAGTACCACTGTTTAGTATCTTTCTTTCCTGGAGTGAATATATCCACATTTTTTAATTCTTAAACGTCTTCTGTCAGTCATAAAAACTCCTGCCAATTCCTCCTGAGACTCCTTTATGGTAGAATCTGATGATCATAATCTCAGCCCATAATGAAGATGCCTTGCATTTCACTGAATGTTTATTTTATTTTATTTTATTTTATTTAGATCCTGCAGGTTGTTTGACTATAATATAACTATTTGCCTGCTTTCCTGTGTGAACTGTAGCAACTTAGTAAAGTTTGAAAGCCTTTCCTTCTACCCAGCTATGTTAAGTGAATGTAAAAATTGCTGTAAGTCGTGCTTCCCTTCAGAGAGTAATTGGAGGGGTTTTGTCCATTCGGACTGTTCTACTTGGCAGCTATTACAAACACAGTTAAAGAGTACAGTCCTTTAAATAGGACAATTAAAAGGACGTATACATCCATAGGAATCTGCTCTTAGCCTTAGTTAAGTAAAAACTAGGTTTCTTGTGTGACATCTTTTATGGTATGGGTTTTGTTTGTTTCTTTTTACTTCAGTCTGTGTCCTGCCAGTTATCAGAGTTTTCATTGGGCTTACATTTGAGGTAGACCAAAAAGGTTTTTAAAATCCGCTAAACGTATGAAATCCGCTGTTTTATGGACTTGACCAAAATCGCTCAAAGAAGCATACACAAAGGTTTGCGTTTTATTTTCCCACATCTTATGTGTTTTTTCTACTTTAAAGCCCACAACTGGTATGAATAACGTCTTTTACCTTTTTATTGTAAACATTTAGGCTTAAAGCGATTATAACTGACATTTAAAACCAACAGGAGCCAGTAGCCTGTTCATATACAAATTAACTGTAATACAGGCAAAATCAAAAATAAACATTTCTAACAGTTCCTTCAGCCCACCAAACCTAGCAGACAGGATGACTTTTTTCAACAACTTTGTCCTGTGGTGTAACTTTAAAATTCCTGGTCTCTTCCAAAGGAGGAAAAAAAAAAAAAAAAAAAAAGCTTGCATTTTGAGTTATTTTTACAATTGACTTTTTTATGTATGTTTTGATTCATTCACTGCTCCAGAGGAGAACAAAATGGCAAAAGGATTTTGTCCAGCTCTATAAGCTTTTTCATATGGAGTTGTTTAAAAATAATGATGGAGTGAGAGTTGAAAGAATCTAACTTTAACCTTTAGAAAAATCGGTCAATCTTCTCATCGTAAGTAGTTGCAAAAAATTTTGTGAGGAATCATGTACAGTAAATAATTTGGGGTCTTTATTTGAACATGACTGTTTTTCAACTGATAGTTTTTCTGTTTCATTATGTTGTTATAGCTGAGTTGGAAATACAGAAAATACCGCCTGTAAAAGGAGACGTGCTCTCCTGTGGTACTGTGGAAATAAACATGCTGCTTGCCTGGGTGTAGTTCAGGGGCGCTTAGCACACGCTAGCTACTGCATGCTGCAGAGTGAAGAACTGGGCATCAGAACCAATTTTTCAGTGAACAATCCTGAGGAGTCCACAGGCACACAACACAAAGTGGGGTGAGTGAGTGCACAGAGGTGGTCCCAGAGCTGTTGGCTCGCCCTCCCTTCGCAGCTGTCCCCGGTAGCTCCTTGCCTGCAGCCAGACTCCCGTGCCAATGGGAATCAAAACTATGCAGCAGGAATCTGCAGAAAGACACAGCTGGCAGGTTTAGGTGATGTTTCAGGAAGCGTCTCTGCTGACTTCATGCAGACACACTCACTTAAAGACCACAGGGCTTCCAGTCAAAGCTTTTCCAGTCATGGGAACCTTTCTCGCAGGTTCCAGGCAGAGGAAAAGAAAATGAACATCATAAATTGTTGTGCAGCGTAGCCCCACCCAAAACAAAGCTCTAGGACTTTTTCCACTTCTTTTATTCTGTACAGAGTAGATGCTGGGATTGTTAGGACTGTTAGAAACCAAAAGCTGACTGTGTTCCTTCCCTTGCAGGAGGTAAGGGGCATAAAATCATAATTTTAAATATAATTTTATTGTACTTCAGCTTGTCTTTTGAATGTTATTGCACATATTTTGAGAGCATCCTGCACTGGGTGCCTTCTGAAGCGCTGTCATGGCTGGTTTGGGGGCTGAGCTTCCTTAAGGATTCTTGGGAGTTCCAGTTGGTTGTTGAAGGCCGCCAGCACTAAACAAACACCCTGTTTTTGGAACCTGTACAGTAAACTCAGTCGCATGAAGCTCCAGCTGAGCCTCTACAAATGGCTGGCCGCTAATGTGGGGCTGAGGGCGACGCCTGGTGCTGACTGACACTAGTGGGATATTTGTGTAACAGCCCAGGTGCTGGCTCGAAAACAGACGTGCTTACCTTGCTTTTCTTCTCACTGGATTTTATCTGAGATCTGATTGCTTCTTTCAAAGATCTGTGAAGTAATTGGGTGGTTTCCTGGGCTTTTTGGACAGCACAAGTGTCACTGAAATAGGACTGGAACATGAGGTAATTCTTGATGTGTCACCAGAGGATGCTGTACTTGGAGCTTCTCTGTAATATCAGCTACTCACAGACTAAATATTTTAAAGTGCTTTAAAAGAAATGGTACCCGTAAATGCTAATTCCAGATAAAATCATTCCTTACGTGTATGACCTAACTAATCAAAATCAGAAGCGATTCATCTGAGCAACTGTTGTCTAAATGTAAAGACGTGAGAGGACAGTGATGGAAGCAGAGGCACACCAATAGAGTAAAACGAGTACAACAGCATTTATTCTGTTTTACTGTACAGTGTTCACCTGGGCTTGGGGCAGGTGAGACTGAGAAGGCCCCTCAAAGGCTGTGAAGAAGGTGCCAAGAGATTTCATAGCCTGAATTCTAAAATAACCTTCCTGAGCCTCCTATCTCACCACCATCCCCTGCAGCAGGTCAGCCTCCTCACTGCCCCCCCCAGCTGCCAAGTAACAACACTGCCCCCCCCAAGTGCTCAGGGGCACAGCTGGAGTTTGGGGTACCAAAAAGACTTGCCCACCAGCCTTATAGTATGTGGCTCTTGGTCATGGTTTCAGTGCCCTCTCATGTGACCTTGCAGGAGATTTGTCTCCCCAAGAACATGCATGGATGCTAGCTTTGAAGTTTACTGTGCTAGGTGTAAAGATGGTGTGCTTCATGCAGCTGTTTTCTTCTCTTCTTGAATATTTAAGCTGTGCTTGAAATGAGTCAGTATCAGGCCTTTCTTGGTGAAGTGCCGAATGCAGGCTGATCATCTTGCTCTGCTGGTTTTGCTCTTTCTCTTTCATCCAAGGAATCTATTGCAAATGGAAATCGATAGCCACTGTTGGGGAGGTGGTGCTTTCCTGCCTCCTTTTCTGCTTCACTGGAAGATGGGAAAATGACAGAGCAAGGTGATCACCAAAACCTGTCACTTGCGGAGGTTTGGTTGCTCCGTTGAAGACAGGCGTTTGTATCACAAAAAGCAGAGTCGGTCCACCTAGCTAGGGTTTGAGTTGGAATCTTGACTGGATCAGAGCAGTGACGTGAGGATGAGGAGACCAGTGCCCTGCCTGTTAACAGGATGTGCTATACAGGTGCTTCGGAGGCAAATACTGAGATCACACAGAGCTGTTCTGGTCAAGTAAAAGCTCCTAGCTGATTCTGGTCAACAGGAGTATTCTCAGTCTTCTGAGAGTCCAGTCTTTTCTGTTATAAGATGAGGTCTTCAAAGTTACAGTTTATTTTAGAAAGTGGGTCTTGTTCCTAGTTCTTCTTATATTTACTGTTTTTCTATTCCTTCTTCTGGTTCTTATAAAAGGGAAAGATACCCTCGCCTGGTTTGTCCTTTTATAATATTTACACTCTCATATCACCTGTTATATTTTCTCTTAAGAAAAATGGGAAAAAGAATCAATCTTTCTAGTCTCTTTTGATATTGACATTTTTTTTACCTCATATACTATGTTTGCATCTTAAAAACAGTATTTTGATGTACTATATATTCAGTGCTACTGCTCTTTGTATCTTAATGTTGTAGTTTTTCCTTTGATTGCCAATACAGACTAACTGTGTTTCCATAATGAAGTTCACATGGGTTTTGCGGTGGGTTTGGATTAGGACTTGAAATGTATGAACCTTGATGAATGATTTCGTGCACTTTATTTTGTGTTTGCCTGCCTTCTACAGATTGTTTAACCTCCAGAGTGGTGAAGGTCTTAGTCTTCAACAAGTGACTAGTCTTCAGTTAGTGACTATTTTACATCATTTTGTAGATTATTAGTAATGCAGGGGAAAGAAGAAGAAAAAAAAAAAGGGAAAAAAAAAAAAGAAAACAGGAACAGTACAAATCCTTGAGGGATTACATTAAGTGCACTTGGAATTTTGGATGTGAGGATGTGAAGGGCATCTGGAGTAGTTTGTCTGTCCTGATATCCCAGGAAGGCAAAAATTTTCTTCTCTATTTTACTTGCATGCCCAAAAGATACCAAAGAAGCCTAGTTTTGGTTTGCATAAGCTGTGCTGGTTTGTCTTGAGCATTTCATACTTACTTTTGCTTTGCTACTATACAGACTTCTGTAATAGCATCTGACTGAAATAAGTAGTAGTGTGTTTTCCTCACTCCTTAACCACTTCATTCTTCAATTCCTGCAGAACGATTTAATTACGATCATCTGGTCCGAGTAGCTTCTTTTGCTCCATAGGTATCAGGCTGTTGCAGTGCCTGCTGCCTGTCCCTGAGGCAGGGAGAGTGTCAGGGTGCTCCAACCTCTGCTTGCTGGTGCTGGGAGAGGAAATGCTGGCTGCAGAGAGGGGCTTGCGTGGAGCCTCTGGAAGTGCCCCCAGGCTGTCGATTTTCTGCACAGCCTTGCATTGGTATCGTGAACCCAGTTGGGAAGCAAAGACACCAGTATGTGGAGAAAGATATTTAAAGAATACAGCTGCACTGTAATTAAAGAGAGCATGAGACAGTGCCCAGATCATTGAAAGTATTTTGCGGAAATGTTGTGGTTTCTTGACACATTAGACATCAGTTTTTTCCTTTTTAACAGTTTACTTGTTCGCTAACATTTGGCTTATAACTCCTGCATCCTGGGCAAGTGTGTGCTGGTATCCTTTTCAGACAGTTTAATGTTTCTTTGACAGATCTTGGAACATATTTGATAATACACGTCAGGATCCCACAGGACTAACAGCAGTTCTTCAGTCTACGGATCTGGTTGGAGTCTTGCATATGCTGTACTGTGTTCTTTTCCATGGGACCATTTCAGATCCAAACACAGCAAGTCCTAAAGACAGCTATGCAGAGAACACAATCCAGGTTGCCATTCAGAGTTTACGTTTCTTCAATAGTTTTGCTGTTCTTGATCTACCCGCTTTTCAGGTAACAAATGTTTTACAACTTTTGCTTAGTGTGAAAATGTTAATTACTGCATATATTTTGACTTAGTTTGTTCTTCTGGGTCTTAGTTACATAAGGAATGTTTATGAATTAGTTGTTTATGTTTTTTCCTGCGCAAAGTTGCTAATTGTTATTTCTACCTTTTGACTGTGGCTAATGAATTCAACCAAAAAGTGAAAACTCGAATACATGAAATGCTGAATCTCCTTGTGCCCAAAAATCCTTACTTTTCAGCACAGTACTTTTTTATATTTCATAAGACCCCAAAAATAAAAACAACAGATATTTGTCAAAAGCAATTTTTTTTCTGATGAGAGAGGACTTGCTTATATAATAACCATAATTTGCATTTTTCTGTACTAAGTGGCTGCTTGCATTAAGATTATTAAGATTGTAAATCTGAAGCCGAAAATCACTTGATATCTAAACTTTTCAGCAAAGTAAAACTTTGATAAAAAGGGTATGTATATTTTCATTTTTTTATTCATAAAAATCAAAAAGATCGCTTTTTTTAAGTAAGTCTTTTCTTATCTGTCTGAGGTTACTAGGGTAAATTAATCATTTTGCCATAGTGATAATTCATCAATACTGTATTTGATAAATTGGCAAAGCTTTTGTTTTGTTAATATAAAGCACCTGACAGAAAGTGTTGCTTTGCAAAACACATTTAGCAATATCAATCTTGCACTATTCATCAGACCAGGTTTCTGTTCCATTTTTAATGTGTTGTAAGTTTATGAATTGCACCACAGACTCCATCTGAAATGTGATAAAATCAGTGAGAGCTTTCCATAAGTGAAAAATTTCGTATAAAGTATATGTTTCTTTCAGTCTATGTTTCTCTACTTTGATTTTTAGTACATCTAGCATCTCTCATTACAGCAACAAGCGGTTTACATGTAGCAATACACGTCTGTACAGATGCAGTTGTGGGGTTGGGTCCAGTCAGGATGTTTTGTGTTTTTTTTTTTGATTTTTTTTTTAATGGAGCACAGAGGGGGTTTTTTTGAGTGTCATGTAAAACGACTCTTACGCACAACATTAACTCCTATTTCTTTCTTTAAATCAGAGTAGTTCTCTTTTACAGCATGCCCAGGAGCTCTTGGTTTGGGACTGAAGTTTGTTTGCTGCTATAGGTGTTACAGATGTGCACCAGAGAGTGCGGGTCAAATCAGGGCGGTTACGGTGCGTAGGCTGGTAGTGGGGCTGTACAGAATCATACCACAACCTACTGCTGTTTCCAGAAACCACTACTAATTTTTTAAAACGTCAGCTTCCACTGATGCTGCCTGTATTTATTCCTCTACCGCTGTAGCTGAGCACGTGTAACAACCCAACAGCATTAAATCCTGCATCCTCTAGTTGGCATTAGTTTGTTCTACGTAGAAACTGGTAAGGTAGTAGTTACTGTGTAAAGTGTGACACAGCTAACTGGTGTGAGTGGATTTCGTTCAGTGCATTGATGCAGGTCTCCACCCAGGGAAGTGTCTATCTGCTGAGCTGTCTTAAGGAAGGGTGGGCATAATCCTGTTTGTGAGGGACGGATGCACTCACGTAGTCTCAGCAGCCATCCGTTTCCCTGCAGTAACAGGGTTTGTTTCTGTAGTGCTAAAAGCTCAACCTACACCTGAGGCCAATTATTGTCCATCCTGACTTTGTGGGCTGCAGCAGACAGCAGAGAGAAAAACTGTATTTTTTTGCGTGGTCAGATCGTTATCTCCAATGAATAGTTTTATCACATAATAGTAGGACTATAGAATAGGGTGGTTTTTGTTTTTTTTTTTTTTTTGATTAACAAAAGAGCCTCTGGTATTCTCAAGTTTGTATTAGCACAGATGGCTCATGAGTATATATTTCATTTAATTTGACAGTCTAAACAATTGAAAGATGGTAGTGAGAAACAACACAGGATCCTGAGCTGATATTAATTCTGGCTAAAAAGGAAGCATAGTTTCCTTGAAAAATTAGTTTAACTTCTATACACAAACTCGGGTGCCCTTTGACCTGCTGTTATCAGGGAAGGTTAAACCCAGAGTGCTAGGTCAGAGCATGAGTGGACAGCCCTAATTAAAGAAGGGTGGCCTTACAAATGGCATTTACATGACAGTGGTAAATGGTCACTGTCTGGTGCTTTACATTTTGAAAATATACTAACTTAGCAAAATGCTTGAGATGCAAGATGGACAATAATCACAGCTGAGCCTGTTTTAATTCTCAAGGATTCTGCTTTTCCTGGGTAGGCTTTCAGTATGCTAAAGCTAAGCTATACTACAGATTGGGATTTATGTAAATGGACTAAACACAGACTCCAAGGTACAAAATCAAGAAAACTCTCAAATGGAAGAAATTTTCTCACAGGCCTGCATTGCTGTTTCATTAGAGTTAGTAGACTGTCTTGCTCATTCCTTGTGCTTTAGTCTTCCCCTTTGACCTTGTGTCGTTCTATCTGTTTGACATGTTTATTAAATAGAGGCTGTAGGCTGTGCAGATAAAATCTAATTCTGAATCTCCACGTTACAGCAATTTGCCTACTTCTAAAAAGTATCCCAAAAAGCTTTGCAGCTCAATGTTCTCTCCATTTGAGTGTTTTTAAAATGTTTGCAAAGTCATTATTTCATATTAATCTTTGTATTCCATTCAGAGCACAAATTATTAATGCAAAACGCATTTTGCTCTTCTGCAAAAATGAAGATGATTTGTTTTCTTTTGCTTCTTACTAGGAAATATTATTAGCATTAACTTTTCCTGGAACATGTAAGTCAAATGAAATGGTTGACCAAATGCTACGCTGCATGTCAACTAAGCAGAACCCAATTTTCCTGCATCCCTTTAAAATTTGAATTTATTCTTATCTTTGTGGCTTTTAATGTTACAGTTCAGGTGTAACTGAATGAAATAAGAGAGTTGTTTTTGTCCTCCTCCAAAAAAACTTCTTGCAACAAAGAACATAGTCGGTACTATGCGCCAAAATGTGTGCCATTGATGCATATGTGATTCACATAATTTCTATAACATACTGCTAGATTGTAATTTCTGTTTCTTGGCCTTTTTTTCAGTCTATTGTGGGTGCCGAAGGACTGTCCCTTGCATTCCGCCATATTACCAGCTCTTTGCTGTGGTACTGTTCTCAGCATACCTGTGAAAGATTGCTGCATGAAGTCATTATTTGTGTGGGCTATTTTACTGTAAACAACACAGATAATCAGGTAAGGCAAATGGAAAATGGGATCAGAAGTTATCATGTGCACATTTAGTCATGGATCACTCAAAAAAAACAAATCCCCTCAACACTGCTTTTGCAGCGCTTGGGATTCCAATGAACACTACAATATGCATTTGCAAAACAGAAGCTGAAGTTACATCTTAGCAAAAAAAAATCTTTAATTTTATATGGCTGCAAGCAAACTCTGTGTTCTATGCAGACAACAATGCTGACCTCACATTGATCATAACTAGCATCTCTCTGCCAAGATAAGCAGAGATCAGCAACTGATATTTGTAATTCATGCAAATTCATGTAGTTCATGGCAGCTTGATTGGACAGCTGTGGTATCCAAGTACAACCTTTTAAAGACAACCAACAAGCCTGCCATGAAGGCATGTCCTCAGGTGCCAACATAGCCTTTTGCTTGGGTACCCAGAGAGCTCATTTACATTTAAACCTTCTTTTCATTGTATCTTTCTACTAGTAAAGTAACCTCTCTGCCAAACAGACAGTAAACATCCCCACCTAGCTTCCCTGATTGTTGTCCACTTTTGTTAATGGACTCTGTGACTTCTCGTACTGGTGAAAACAGCTTATTAAATAACCCAGTTGCAAAACTTGAAAACTACTTCATACACTTTAGTCTTAAAAGTCGTCTGGTTTCCTCAGCTTACATGCAGCGTTTCAGGGAGATAGGCAGGGCAGAGGTTGGCACTTGCACTATGTTTTTGAGTGTGTGAGCCTGACTCTGGATGTGTGGAAACTGCATTATAGCACCTTCATCTTTGGTGTGATTCAGTTGAGTATTGTGTTTTGTGAATTTTGGGTTCGTTCTTTCTCCAAACTTTTAGCAGTTGGTTCCCGTTTTTTCTGCGTTTTTGGGGCTGGTGTCAGGATCAGGAGCTTGGTCCCCTCATTTCAGCTGAAGAGCAAAACAAAGATGTGGTTCAACTTGTCAGCAAAGGTTAGAGAAAAGCTGTCCAGTTATGTTCTTACAGTTGTTGACTATAATTGGAACATTCTAATATCTTAAAGCTGACAACACTGTCAAAAATATTCCATAATTATATAATATAATTATATAGTAATGTTTCTGTGGTTTTGGCCACAACCTGAAGGAGGATCCTGCAGCCTTCCTACCCTGTGGAGCCAAATCCCATTCAGGGCTGGCTGGCGCGGTTCCCCAGCACACAGACTGTCGGGCCCCCAAAGTACAAACCACGGTCTAGAGCCTCTCAGGAACAGGGACTGCCTGTGGGCAGTACTTTTTAGCATGATCGTTTTGAAAATCCGTGTGATACTGCTGCAATTTTCTCATCCCCACTGCTGCACAAGTAGTTGTGCTGGCATCCAGAGGTGCCAGCATACAATGTTTTTTTTTCTCTGCAGTTTCAAATTTTCTTTTCTGGCACACAAGTATAAACAGATGTGATTCATTGCAAAGAGGACTTGCAACTATAAATGTGCCAGGAATAGCACAGAAGAGGGATTTCCTACCAGCAATGTCTGTTAGAGCACACTGTAGTGCCTGTCACTGTTCAGCACTCGTGCCCTGGGGCAGAGGTCCGACTGTCAGGAGCCGGCACGCTGCCACAGCAGCAGCGAGCTATGGTGGCGGCAGGCAGGCAGGCAAGAGACTAAGTATGTGCATCGTGTGTTTGTTTGTGGGCATCCTTCCCAGCTGGTAATTTTACAATGTCTTGGAGTCTTCAGCATGTGCACTTGTGGTTGAGGTCATGTGCCGTCACTAATCTACCCCCAAACTGAGTTAATTTTCAAGATTAAAAGGCAGCTTTGGCAGCTCTGCAAGGCAAGTTTAGGTCTTTGTTAAAACGACCGTGCTATGTTAGTACTTTTCATATGCTAAAAGCAGTCCTTTGTGGTGGTTTGCTTTGGTGGTACTGTCTGCAGAGATGTCACGCCATACTTCTTACTTAATTTCTGATATTCGTGTTTTAATATTCCTATTCCCTAGCTTTTAACTGAGAAAGCAGCATTTTTGTTCATGAAAGTTTTCTCCATTACAAGTCTCGATGAGAATTAACAAAATGAACAGTAATAAGGGAGTGTTCAGCCCACCATGGACTCTTTAATACGCACAGGTGTACATACAAAGTCTACAGCTGTATTCCTAGTGGATTGTGCTATTCCTGACAGCATTGCTAGTTTCAAAAGGCCAGAGTCCTGCTCACACAGATACTCGTAAAATGTAGGGAAGCTTATAAAATAATATTTTTACTTTTACTACTAGGCAGGCAGGGAGACTTGCATATGGTCATTATTTTCAGGTGCTGTTAGTGTTGTGACTTCCAATAAAGATGATGCCTTTTGTAAAAGGCGAAGTGCTTTCTACTCATTCCCTTATGGTTTAATTTTTTATTACGTTTCGAGCTTCCAATTTTTTCTTTCACTGTGGATCATCTGCAGAGTGCTACTAAAAATAAAAAATTGGTCTCACAGTGAAAGCTTTCACGTAGCAGGCTTGAACTCCTGGAAAGAACTGCATCATAAAAATAGATATGACAGACTTGAGCTATGAAACCAAACTTTCACAGAGCCTGGTAGCTCTTTTTATTTACTATTTGGACAGACTTTATAAGGAGTCGATAACTGATGTATTTTGCAGCAGACTCGCATTATTCTTACAGTCAAATCCATTTTTGTTTTGAATTGTTTGTAGTTTAAATAGGTCTTTTCCTCTCTGCATTTGTAATTCTTATTACAAAGCTGTGTAAGTTTTCATTCCTTTCAACTACCAAAAAAGAACAGAGTTATTTAGAGCTTTCAGTGTGACTTTGTCCAACAACATGAGCAGATAAAATATCCCAAACGGCATACTGGAAAAAAAGAAAAAATAGTGTTAATTATTCAAAAACTTGCAGTTCGGAGAAGAGAGAGATTTCTAAAAAAAGAAATTTTACAGTCTGTCAACCTCGACATTGACCTTCTGAAGTAGTACTGTGATTTAAGCTAAGTGAATTATTGCCCCTATGCAGTCAAAATAATAGAAGGGCAATTTCCTAAATATTTCACAATTATAGAGCAAAATCTTGCAAGAGCATCATATACCACTCACTGAATGTAATTCAGGTTTGTCTGGTTTCATTCTGCTATCTGTAAAGCTCTTTACAGTTAGTCAAGTGGCAAACACAAAAAGGAAGTTCCTTTCTGTCTCCTGTCTTCCAGCCTGCTATTTCAGTGCAGCTTGCAGGAGCCCCGAGGAAGGGCAGGGTCTCGCGGTGGGTCCTGCACACGTGTGCAGTGTCCGTGGCTGGGTTCCAGTTCGTGGTTTTATCACTGTTAGCTTTTGGTCCGGACCCACATGGTTCTGTCGAGGAGCAATGAGGACAATGGACAGCGAAGGAATGCATTCCCAAGTGTTTTGATAGTGCTCGCTCTGTTTATTCTAGAAAGACTATGATTTTGCTGACTCTGCCCACATGTAATATATTGGTAATATTCCTTTCCTTTTTTTTTTTTTCTTTGTTCTAACATTCATAAAGCCTTGTCAGGGCAGCTGCTGTCACTGAGGAAATAAATCAGTTATGAAACTGAAAAATTCAAAAAGCAAAGTGTTTTTTTAATATTTTAAATGGTTCAACATCATTAGTCAAGCCTAAACCGCGCTGTCTGTTTTGTATCGGCACGTGAACTTCTGTTTACTATAGAGTTAGACAGCCTGCCTTCCACGAGACGGCCTTCTGTAATCATGCCCGAGCGGGGCTCGGCTTTATTAGGCGTCTGCTTTGCATGAAGTATGATCCAGGAACTGGTGGTCACCCTTTTTTGGCCACCCTTTAATCTATTAACTTACAAAATGGTTCCCATGATACTGAGGGTAGAGATGTAAAACAAAACAGTAATAAAAATAATGTCCCATCTTTTAATAAGCCAATCGCACTAGAGGACTGCAGTCGCTAATTAAAATGTTCTTGTTAATTAAAAATATCCTTCTATTTCATTACATTTTTATTCCCTTTCTTGGATTTAATTATTACAATGACTGTAATTAGCATGTGCTGTCAACTCACTTCATTTGCATATTATATTGGATAATTGAATGTGGTCCTGTAATTAAATTAACATGAATGACAGATGATTTGGCTTCTTTCACATTGCCGTACTGGGAATAAGAATCTTTCCATATTCATTGCACTTACTGAATATTTTGCATTTGAAAAGTCATCAGACATCGGATCTTCCAGCTCAGGGCTTTGTCTGACAAGCTTCAAAAGAAGTTGCATTGTTCGTTTGTGCAATTGATTTAAATAAATAGAGCTTTTTCTTTTGTCACTGTTTGGCACATATGACACGCTGTTTTGAAAATGCTCCAGCAGAATCTCACTAACGTCTGGGATTTGTAGTACACAGGACTTTATACTTCTAAGTTGTTGAGCTAAAACATAGCGGTACTGCATTGCAAAACCTAACATGTCTGTAAAAGAGCTAGGGAGATGCATATGCAGCTTTTTAATTTTTTGTTACAAAAGGTAGGGTTTGTTGTAGATACAGTTAGGAACTTTAACTAGAGTAATCAGTGTCGCTGGAAGAAAAGAGATATGCAAACCATATGTCTTTGAAGAAGGGATTTTATTCTGGGAAGTTTGTCTTGCAGTTGCAGTAGTTTAACTAATTTGTTTCTCTGTCACTCCAAACTTTTTATCCCTAGGCAGTTGTGTCCGTACGAGCAGTACATTATTTTCATTGTAAGCTTAGAAATAATTGAGGTGTTAATATCAAATAATCCTTAAGTTGAAAATAGCAGTAGACATTAAATTAGCAGGAGTTAAATTTGATAGTGTCATTCACTCACGAGAAATTTATCCATGCTACATAGATGTAGAAAATGTGTTGCAAAGCATGTTTCAGGTGTGCCATCTTGTTCCACTCACAGGAACAAGGACCAGTAAGATTTCAGAATATTTGGGGAGAGGAATTTATTCTGTCTTAAAAATATAGAACATCACAAGTAGTGTAACAAATAAAAATATAATTTCAAAGAAATAAAATTGGATGGAAGGCACAATTCTGAAAGGTTTGTGAAATTTACTGTTTGTTTTCATCACAAAAATATATGGTAGAAAGTCCCCAAGAAAGGTTCCAAACATAGATTCTTTCCTCTTTTTTATTTAAACGACTGGCTTATATTTTCCTACTTTTTAGTGTTTTTTCTTGTGACAAATATTATTTCTGACATAAAATAACAGAATACTTTATCCCTCATTAAGTAGTGTGCGTATGAACTTGAAGTTGATTAATGTATCACGTACATACGTATATTATGTGCCCTAACTGCGGTTACAAGTACTGCTAGTTGTAAAGAACAATTACAAAAAGAATTCAGATTAAAAGCTGTCTTCTTTAGGGAAATTATTTTGTGCAGTTGACTGTGCCAGTAAATGGCCAGCTTCATCTAGTGTTAGCGTAAAGAACATAGCTTTAAAAAGTAACAATCATGGAACTTGGAAACCGGAATAACAGGGAAACTTAGAATGGTTATAAAATATTATGGAAAGATTGCATGCAGGTTGTTTACTGGAGACCATCATTAAACCTCCATTATTCATGTTGCTTGTAGGGCTAGGCTGGGACTGGAATAATTTTGATCTGATAGGTGGAGGTTTAAAAAAACAACACGAGAGTAAAGGTACAGGAATTGGTAGTTACTGTGTGCTTAATAGCTGCTTATGTTAGCAAACAGTGTCTGAAATTACTTAGTTCTGATTTTGATAGTGTTTTTTTTTCAGAGGGGGTATTTTTAGGAGTATGGATTTCATACTGAGCTTGTTGGTTTAGTTAAGTCTTTTCCAAAAAGCCTTTTAAAACTTTATAAGTTTTAATTTTAAAAAAAAATTATAATAATTTTTGTGGAATAGCTGATTTCAGTGAGTGAATCATGTGAAATTGTAGTCTTGACTACCATTTAGGAGCACTTCAGCCCCCAGAGGATTAAACTCACCATCTTAAAATGGAGTAAATGAAAACAGCGTTGTAACGTATGCTTTTTCTCTATCAGTCTTACATAGTCAAATTGCATAAATTTACCTAAACGAACCCATGGCTTTAGAAAAGCTGGCATTCCTCGCCAGCCGAGCAGTGAAAATTGGGAGTGCCTCAGGGGTGGTTTGTCGGACACCTTTGTTGTTATTTGAGCTTCCTGATGAACAACAACATTTAAAGAGCGATCGATGACAAAGCAAATAAAATACGATGTGAGCATGGTGGACTGCATGTTTCACGCTTCATGTTTCCATTGTATTTCTAACGCTCCAAAATGTGTCTCATTTCTTTTTTCTTTATTTGTTGTTTAGAGAGTGCAGGGAAGGAATTATAATGTGAGCAAAGACTTAAAATGAAATCAGCTGTATTTAGTTTCAGTTTAGGATGGCTGGCTGATTCCTGTAGGAGAGGGAGCGAGAGCACGTAGGAGTTAATATGAGAAATTAATGCATTTGGATTTATCTTATTGTATTGTTCTTAAATTGTAAACACCAAAGAATAAACTTGGCTCCCAATGTCATCATAAGCAGTACTTCCAGCAACCTTAATACGTCATCCATAAGTAAAGCCTTGAGGAGAGGGCTGGAGAGAGTGAGCGGCTAATGTCGCAGCCTCCAGAGAGCTATGTCCTAATCTCAGATCAGGAAGAGAGTTCGGTGGCCTCGGTTTTTAATCTCCACTTAAAAATAAATAAATAAATAAATAAATAAAGCTTGGCGTAAGCACTTTCTTCTCAGCAAAGACCTAGACCTGGAATATTTTGGCATTGGCTAGTGGAGATGCATTGGCAAAGATGCCTGCACAAGCTTGCACGACGCCTGTCTTTCCTCTGCCTCTTTCTAATCGAGCGTGACAGTCTCTCTTTTCCATGAGAACTAAATTTCACACCAAAACTGAACACAAAGTCTAAAGTCTGCAAATCTTTAATCAGGCCTTGTGAGCTATTGTCTGTTTTGCCTCATGTGTGAAGGAACTCCCTGTGCTTCTCCCATAAACTTAAAGTTTTCCAAGTCTCTGCAGAACCACAGTGACTGTCCTGAACATCGCTGGCCCCACACGGAGAGGACATCAGCCTGCTCTCTGTTCACAGCTTTGGGCTTCAGCAGTTGGCAGTTGTTCCAAGTACTTGGATGCTGCAGTATGGGTGGGAACATGCAAGAGACCCAAAGAAGTCTCCCAAACCTATTTCATCATATTTAGCTCAAATAAATGAGTATCACTTGATTGAAGTGATATTGAAATATAAAGAAAAAAAATAAAATGGATTAAGTCTTGCAAAAGTGAATACTATGGAAAATCTTGCATATTTTTCATGGCAGAAAAGTACGTTTTCTTGCTCTCTGAAGCTTTTTTCTCAAGCCAGCTCTGTAACGTCAAGTAGCTCCATGTGTTTCAGTCTTTTTAGTTGACAATCAGATACTTTCACAAAGCCTTTACATTTATTGTTGAAGCAAGAAAGCAAAATGTTCTAGTAGTAAAAATTCTAAGACTGTGTAGCTTATTTGCAAGTAGATTTTTGGTTGGTTTTGAAAAGAGAGAATGCTCTGAGAGAAACAAAGTATTTTTTTGTGTTTTAAACTGTAGTAATTTATTTACTCGCACCTTTTTGACCCAGCTAGATCTGTTTTCAAGGATCATTGCAGAAACCTCTTCCAATAGTCAGTTTGAACTTCTTTTGACTGAGGTCCTGTTCCCTCTCTAGGCTTCAAATCAAGAATTCTTCATTTTCATCAGTGGAGTTGGAGTTCCACCTCTAAATGAGTAGAGGGTCATGCCTAGAACACTAGCTTGAAGTTCCAAGTGGTGCATCCTTAAAGTTGAAGATCTTATCTAAATGAGAAGATGATTCTTGGAAAAATAATGCAGGGCTGCAAGGTCCAGTTCTGATCGTTTCAGTGTTCAGAACCATACTTAAGGAACTGAGACATGGTAGATTTTTTTTTTTTAAGCTTATACATGTATTTCACAATACATTTGATATATAATAATATTCTTCTCTGATAAAAATAAATAAATAATTATTCCAACACTTAAACATGTAAATCCACCATTACATTATTTTGGAAGCTATAAAGCTTAACTTTTTCTAGAAAGTAATGTTACCCTTGAATTTAACAAGATATTTAAGTATGTGCTTGACATTAAGCATGAGAACAACCTCACGTGTTTAAATGTTTATTTTATTGTCATTATGTTAAATGCTAAAATTCCATTGTTTTTAAAGTAAAGCTCTTCCTTACTACTCTTCCTGGTTTGGCTGTTAGGTAACCAGTTTATCCTGTAGCCTGGGCATGTGCTGAGTTCACAGGTAGCCTCAGAAATTATTGGAATCATTTCCATTCTCTTCTCATCTTTTAGTCAAGCTGATATTTTAAATTTATTTATTGATGAATTTAATCTCTATAATCTTTGTTCTTTTATCTAAGGTACCTTGTTGGTTATCATTTTGAGTGACATTTTTTTCAAGAGTTTCACACCAAGAACTTCTTCATCTCAGTTTCTCACTAGTGTCACTGTTGATAGACATTTTTACATTTTTAAACATATCACTGTACTTATATTTGCTGTTATCCTATCTGCATGTTTAAAGAACTTTGGATGATTCTACAAAAACTGCTCGGATATTTTTTTCTTCTCTTATGCATGCCCAGAGCACCACAAAGCACTGTGCTCTTAAACCATAGAGCTAGCTCTGAAAGGACACCACTCATAATGTGGTTTATAGGAAGACAAATGCTATTTCTGAACTCTGTTATCTGCCCAACTTCTCTCGGAAAGCTTGTGTGTGCTGTTAAGAAAATAAACACTGAAATATTTCAAATAGACCAAATTCTTATTTTTAAATTTGAATGTAGCATTTTGGAACATTGGTTTTGCGTAGAAATGGCGCTCTGGTTCCTGATAAATGTTAGAAGGAGTTTAGAACATTCTTTGCTCAGAGCCTTGCCAATAGCAGAGTTTGCAAAATGGAAAGAAAAGAGCTTGACCTTAAAACAGAAGAAGAGCCTAAGTGGTGACATATTCCGCTGATTAAATACTAGCAGTATGGGATCTGTTTATATAGAAGCAAAGAAATAATGCAGATCTAACTTTGAAGAGAAACTCTGGGCTACTAATATAAAGACTTATTTCTTTTACAAAGTTATAAATAACCTGACATCAAACAAAAGCATTTAACCGTTTGATGTATTCTCTGTAGTTACAGAGTCGATGCACAACATTTCAGCTCTTGTTCAATAAAGCGATTAGTTGTTTGTGCCAATTAGAACTGACTTTGATAGAAATTATAAATAGAAAAGAAACATTAATAGTTCCCATACCAACAGTACAGTTTTAAGAGCCAAGTGTTTACAATGGCCATGTCCAAGTTGAGAACTGTAGGTCATGCAAGATTGTGGAAGTGCCAGGGGGTGCCCCTTAGAGAACCATTAGCCTTGTAGTCCACATTGTTCGGAGAATATTGTGTCTGAACCTGAAATAGGTTACAGCAGAAGACCACAGTCAAAGTGGACATTTTAATGCTTTGCTTCATTTAAAAAAAAAAAAAAAAAAAAAAAAGCTTGCAGTGACAGTGACTGTTATTTGTTACTAAGAGACTATGGAATACAGTTCTTCATTAGGAGTGTTTTCTCTGCAAGAGCTGAGGAAGCCATCACTTCAGGAAATTTTATACTTAACTTTAAGATTCAAGCCAGTTCTCCTGTTTCCAATTACACGTTGCTGTGATAATTTCATCTCACTTTACATTTGATGCAAGAGCTACAACTTCTAATGCTGAAAAAAAAATACTGAAAAATGCCAGCAACCTTTGAGGAAACAATAAATGGCAAAAACTCTTACAAATTTTAGACATGCTGCTCACTAGTACAATTATTGATGTCTTGCAGCTTTTCAGAGGTATATACAGTCCTCGGTAAATAATAATAATTTCACAATATGATGTTTGTCTGCTCTAGCACAGTTTAGTTCCTTGAGAACCTGGCTTTCTGAATCAACTGAATACTTGCTTCTCCGTTCTTTGTTTCGCCGTTGCATAGACAAAAAGCTTGCTGCAGGCTTTCTGTTCCTCCTGACCAGAAAATTAATTACACTTTTTTGAAAGATAATTCCTGTGTTTTTATGGTGTGTATGGACAGAAATAAATGACATGAGTGGTGCTTTTCCAGAGCTGCAAATGTCCAAGTGAAACAAGAAAACCTAAATCCGTCAGTCGAACTAAACTAAATATTGCTCTGAAAATCACCACTTCCACTCTCTAGTAATCCTGGACTGGCCTTGAGCGTTACAGAAGGAGTAAAAAAGATCGTTTTGTAAGACTGAACCTTCTTTTTTCTGTTGTTCCTTGTAGCAAAATATCTGATAATATTTAATGTGTGTGTGCATAGAAGCTCTTAAAAACAATCTGTGATCTTAATCTTCTCTAAATCTCTGAAGCGTTGCTGGCAAATTTTAAATAATTCAGTTAGTTTCTTTTTTCCTTTTTTTTTTTTTTTTCAAATGCTTGTCATGTAGAAAGTATGAAGTTACAACTTGGAAACAAACATTTGGATTGTCAGCAGCAATACTTCCTCATGGGTTAAAAAAAAATGTAAATCTTCAAAAAACATTTTGATTAAACTAGTTCTTGAAAACCAAGCCACAAGCATCTTCACTTATGAGTCAAATCAGGATATTAGAGTTCTTAAAGAATATATGAATCACCAGTTCACCTCAATTTGGGTAATGTTTTTTCAGTATTTTACATGCACCCATCCCTCAGCTTTCTGACTGACACATCAGATTTCTCAATGAAAATTCTGTTTATTACTTGTAAGATGTTTATAAACTCAGCTACCCTAGTGTGGTTCCAAAGACTAGAGGTTTCTTGGTTTATTTTTTTCTTTTTGTAAAATTAGCCATTGAGTTGGTAAGATTTGACTTCTTATTTATTATGACATGTAGCTGCTGACGTGTATCAATCAAAAAAGCAGGATTCTGTTAGCTATGAATATTTTACTGCATAGCTTTGGCAAAAGTTTATGCATAGGCATGTAAGTATTTTTTTTCATGATAAAAGGTATATAGGGAAAGATTGAATCCAAGACAGATGTTTTATATATTGCATACAGTATGTAAGAAGAATTATGAGGTGTTCACCAAAATGTCTTTCTCTTGGTAGTTCTCATGCAAAGACTTCCCCTGCGTATGCAAGTGGTTATCTCCCTGCCCTTGCGAGCAAGGAAGGGAGTCACAGCTTCCAGATTCTCATTGCTCCAGGATCCATAGAAAGCTCCTTTTGGGTCTCGCGAGCTTCTCAGAGAAAGGGAAGAGCTGTACATTGCCTAAGCTATTCAGAGGAAATTGAACCTACATTATTTAGGTTCATGCTTGTGCATTTATTAGGTCCCTAGCAAAGGTCTTCAGTCCTGTGAAGATCTGCTTTGCAAGGTGCCGGAAAAGAAAACGGAAAAGAAAGGTGCTGGAGCTGTCCCAGCGGGCATACAAAGAAGAATTGCATGATCCAGGACGGAAAAGACTTCTAGCAGTCACCTGGACTGTGTAGCCAGAAACACTGCTTCAGCAGCAGGAGAAGCCTTATCTCCTAGCAAAATGATGAGTTCCCCTCACAACTTTATTGCTGTTCCAATACTACAAGGAGCTTTTAATTTTTTTGATTGATTGTCCTTTTTTTATTGCTCAAGTGCTGTGTGGCATATTGCTGGCTTTTGTCATTGTAGCCTGTTTTGAAAGACTGACTTTTATACTGCTTCAGACTTTCACAGCTAGAAGAATTGCAGCAATGTGTAAGCAATATACTATATAGTGAATATTGGCCCAAATAAACTTGAGAAAAAAATGGATTCCACCTTAAGACAACAGGAATCATTCTTTCCTAAGTGGTAAGCTTCAGTGGATGGGGATGGTTATTGCATTCGAGAGGCACACGGGAGCAGGGCTTGCTGGGTGGGGTAGGGAAGAGGCGAGTGCCTCTGGCTATTGGAGATGAAGTACATTAGTGGGGCCTGCGGGAGGCTTTAACCGGTGGGAGTGACAGAAGATAACAGATAGGCAACCCTGAGAGGTGTTGCTCGGTAAAAAGTTCCCCCAGGTCATCACATCAGTCATTGTGCTGGACAGTCAGCTAGCGCGGCTCTGTAACACAGCATGTGAGCTGGAACCTGGAGATTCAGACAGAGACCCAGCGTGGAGATCGCTGTTCCTAAACATGGCTCTTAGCGAAGCTTGAAAGTAAACAATATCAAGTATTAGAGTGGCATGCATTGTGTACAGCCCTTCCTAACTGTCACTTACGCGGTGGAAAGGCTGCCTGTCTGGCACAGTAAGGGACCTGAGATGCTCTAACTTCTCGTTTTGGACATGCTTTTACGTGGAGAGCAGAGTGTGCCACTGGCCAGTGCTTGCTCATGTGCTGTCTGTTACTCACATCTCCTCATCGTCTGCTGGGCTCCACTTCCGCTGCTGAAACATACCGGAGATGGTCTTCAGTTTGGCAGGTAGCAGCAAGAAAAACTTTATTAATTCGTCATGAAATAGTATTTCACAAACATAATTGCAGTTTGTCTTACCTGCATGTAGCTTCTGTCTTCATAAGGTTTTTCCAATGTTTACTGTGTTGGGTCAAAACCAACCTAGGCTAAGCAAGTTCATCGTCTTTGCAATTTCTTTAAGCAAAGCACAGGCAAAACTAATGAGGCGATACGAATATCTTGAAATTAATAGTAGGCAACACTTTAAGTAAAATACAGAAAACAGCAATTTGAATGAACTGCTCTGAATAACAGTAGAGTAGCTTTTACTAATTTGGTAGACAATTCGGAAAAAGACCACAAGCAAATATTAATGGGACCTAGGCACATATCTGGAGTTAAGCAGGTGCTTAAGTGCTTGGCTGTACAGAAATGCAGTGATTTAATTAAGATCTTGTTACGTTTGACAGGCATATCTGACTTTCAGGCTGGAGCGAGAGCAACGAGAAAAGCTAATTCTAGTATGTGACAGGAATTCCTGCACAGCCTTGCAGTAAGGGGTTTGTATCTCATGTGAGAGGATTTTATGAGAAGAGTATTCCAGGTCTGCAAAACTCTCTAGAATTGTCCAGCAAAGAGAAGGAAGTGACTGTTTAAAAAAAAAAAAAAATACTTTTTCCAACGTAAAAAATTCATAGACAAGGTTTTCATATGTTTTCTTTAATGTTCATCTGCTCAGTTAAGTGCTGGACTTCACTTTCTCTGCCACTCGACAGTGAAACGAGGAATATGCTCTTAGAGGTTTATTTGCTTGGGAATTTTTTCCAGTGAGGGGTAAGTTATTTCATGATTTTTTTCAGGCTACATAATGCAGTGTATCAGGTTTAGTGTAGCTGCATTAGTACAATGAGCTGAACTCATTTAATTGATTCCATGTGTGATAAATACCAGATTAAAATAATCAGCAGCTCTTGTGTATAACTTCCCTATCTTTAATGTTGATAACATCTTAGTTAAAAAAAAAAAAAAAAGTTTTTTTTTTAAAAAAAGATAATGAAATAGTAATTCTGTGAGCGCTGTTTGGGTGTCTGCACTGTTCATTTGAGAAGAGTTCGCTAATTATCCATGGCATTTCTAGAACAGGTAAGGGAAGTGAAGTGCGAAATGAAAAATTAAAAGTCCTCAAAACTGCTTTTTCTGGGTCTATTCCTCAGGTCCAGTGGCCATTAAAAAGAAGTGGAGTTCTCTCACTCTGTCCTGTACAAATACCAATTGTAGTTACGTTAGTACGGTTACGACTGATTCAAAGTACTTTTCTGACTGTAGGATTTGCCATAGAAAAGCCTAGAGTTAGATCATACCCAGTGTGATTAATTTACAATTCCAGCAGTAAGCACAAAGCGTGGTAGCCAACAGCTAAGTTCAGCATCATCCAAATGCTTTCGTGGTGGGCTAGATATTTTCCTCAAAAGAGCACTGTATACTTAATTGTCACGTATTTGTCTGTCTCTTAAAAATTCCTCCTGGCTTTAAGGGCATTAAGACAATTCTGCCAGTATTTTGAAAGGTTTTCAGTGCCTTTTAGGCTGGTGAACTGAAAAAATGCAAACTATTACTTTGTTGATCTTGTTTTTAAACTGAAATGCATTATCAACTCAGAGTGTGTTCTTAAGGTATTGTTAAAAGTGCTTTGAAAACTTGTAAATCCCTGTAATTTATGTTCCTGTGGTCTCAACTGCTTCTTTCTGTCCTTCTGGTTTTAATTTCAATGCAGTCTTGTCTGGGTGTGTACCTGTAAAATTGTGTTTTTCCAAGTACAATTTACAGTCATGACCCTAAGTTTTACAGTGTTCAGCCCTATAGGAGCTTCCTCCTATGCTGAAAAGCCAACTTTGGGTCAAACAGCTCTTTCATATTATAATTGTCTAATCGAGGTTGCTTGGAACAGATCTGATTTTGAATTTTTGTTAGTTTATCACAAAGACTTTATAAAAATATCAAGTAAATTGGAAAGGTTCCTTTGCAAGAGACCAGTATAGCATTGCCTTATTTTTCCAGATGTACACAGTTGTAAACTTAGCCTGCTTCATGACAACAGTCCCATTTATCTAAACAATTCTCCTTTTAGAGTCAATGGCACTGATAGAAACTGAGATAAGAAATACAGATGGGAGGATCTTTTGGAGTCTCTACTGAAACTCATTGCTGTGCAGCTTACAATCACCTTTTCTTTTCTGTGCCTGAGAATGCGTAGCAGACATCTATGATGAAACAGAGTCCTCTGTGATTGCCAGAGAGCACTCCAGTAAAGGATGAGCAAGCTTCATCAGGCTTTTATGGTCCTGGTGATCTCGCTCTTCATATTTTATTTTTTTTCCAATAAAGATATGCTTACTGTGTTTAAATGGCAGCAGTTGTTTCTATCTTTGTTTTTGTGGGTGTTTTTTTTTGTAGTCCTAAACTTAGAACAGTGCCTTTGCTTTAATTCTTTGTCTTAAACAAAAGTATTGTAATACTCAGATTAATCCAGTTCTTATTTTTACTGTCTTTTTTGGTGATACAGGCAAAAGCAGTTTCACAGCCTTATTTTCTTTGTGTTCCCCTGCAATAAAAATAATATTTGCACACTAAAACAGAAGTTAGTTGGACTAAATGTTCTAAGATTTATTTTTAGTATTTACTAAAATGTTTTCTTCTCAGCCATGCTCATATTTTTAGCATGACTTCAACACTCTTGATGATTAACAGGAAGAGAAGACCAGATAGGCTACGTGTTCTAATTTTGTTACGTTTGTGTTTTCAGATCATTGTACAATCTGGCCGTCACCCCACAGTGCTGCAGAAGCTATGCCAGTTGCCTTTCCAGTATTTCAGTGATCCTCGTTTAATCAAAGTGCTCTTCCCTTCACTAATAGCTGCTTGTTACAATAACTCCCAGAACAAGATCATCCTGGAGCAGGAGATGAGCTGTGTGTTACTCGCCACGTTCATTCAGGTAGCTATGCCAGTAAGAGCAGTGTGTACAGGAAGACTGCAGCCATTTTTCTCACCTTTGCTGTGTGTATAGAAATCGCTTGCCTTAGGTAAAACAAGTAAACAGCATTGAAGTACTTTAAGATTCTGTGCAGCTCTTTTCAAACCACAGATGATGCCTGTACTTGAGACATCTTAAAACACTGAAAGGTTACCGTTTAGTTTGGGTTCTCCCTATCGCCTGCAGCATCCTGTTGTCATTAAAGTTACTGGATGTGAAAAGAAGATTTGGTGTAGATCATACTGTTACCAGACAATTCTTTTAAAATACTTTTTTTTTTTTAAAAGGGCTGCACATACAGCATATCTGAAATCTGTATGTTAATCTGTTTATATATAAATGTACAGTTGTATACTGTGTACATCAGATTTACAGGGAGAACTGAACAGAAGTGTATATATTTTATGCAGAAAATACACAGAACATATGTTACCGGTCTAATCTTGCAATCTTTATTTTTGACAGTAAGCCACTGAGGTCATTACAAATACTGTTTTGAATAAGGATTTACAGCGAGTTTGTTCTCTTTGTGTAAATTTATATGCTGTGCTTTATTTATCAGCTTTCACGTGTGCCTCATGCTTTCCATACATTTTACCATCTATCTTCAAATGAATAAATGCTGTTTTCATAAACACTTTGCTATTACAGAATAATATGCTTTTAGGACTCTCTATCAGTCACCTGAGAGTTACTGTTGTTGATACGGAAATGTTGCTCCAACTCGTTCCTAATGCTTTACAGCTAGTCAAAGGGTAGGCTACACAGATTTGGGGGAGAGGGCATAAGAACTAAATGTTTACTAAAAGTCTTAGCTTAACTAAGTTGTAACTGACTTATCAAGCTTCTGAGTGGGACTACTTTTTCTTCTTACAATACTAAAATAATTGCATATCAAATTAAAAATGACAACGAAAACTTCATAACTTAGCATTAGAAGAATTGGCCATATTTTAATGAACTTCTGTTTAAATACAAAGTTGTAATTCATCTTTGACTCTTTTATATTGAAACATTTTAATATGGAAACTACAGATTTCACTCTAGAAGGTGCAGTAGCAAAAAATAAGCATTATCAGTAAATGCAGCAAGCTTGATTTGTGTTCCAATTTAAAAAAAAAAAAAAAAAAAAGTAGGGAATAGTGTCCCCCATCAAATAATTAAGGCTATTTACCTTGATTCCTTTAGTCTAATAGTGGCATTTAAATCCCCAGTAGCTTCAGCAAAATGTAAGTATATTTGCAAGGGTCAGTGTTATTCATTCGATTTCTAATTAGAGGAGTATTTATATCTCAGATGCCAAGTCCCCGTGCTATTCCTTCAGGCTTTTAGAAGAGTTGCCTTAAAATACAGAAGATCCTCGTGGGCTCTACACTGTCAAGTTTTTGCTGGCTTCGCTGATACCTCAATATTTTACTCTTTTTAAAATCTCATCCCAAATGTTGAACACACACACACACACATAAAGAACGATTCTGAAAGGAACCAAGGAATGCTCAAATCCCCGTACACACAGAAGAGCCTTGCCCCTGCACTTTTATTTCAACCCGCTGCAGTTTGTCAAGCAAATCTCTCTTTTGCTTCAGTGGAAGTTTTGGTAAAGTCTGTAAAATGTTTCCCTGTGACTAGAAAATGAGATTCTTCCTGTGCCAGGGAATGCAAAAAGAAGTCCCGTTTACGTAAAAGTTTGGTCGTGTGTACGAATATAACACTTAAATACAGTGTGTTAAATGTGTGCAGCGTAAATCAAAGGAAAATGATTGCTGGATTTTGCAGCTATCCACGTTAAGCCTCCTGGCCAACAGATCTATTTCCATCCTCCCGCCGAAGGTTGCATCATCCTTTCTTTGTTATTTCTGTTTCTAGATGGGCTGAAATACTTTTTAAAAATACATATTTAGAAGTATCTATGATGTGCTAAATTGTATCTCCTGTCAAATAAACCACCTCTACTCAGGGAGAGCTTAAACTCTGAGATCTGCTCCTCAAAACCCCCTCCGAACTGGGGCAGCTGAGCTGCATAATCCTGCTTGGTTCAGAGCGAAGTCGGTGTCCTTGCCGACTCTGGAGGACGCAGCCTCCTGCCCAGTAGGAGCAGCGAGCGCAGTATTGCCTGGAGTTAATCCTTGGAGAAACTTCACTTACTGTCAGGGAATCGGGATCTCAGGCTCCTGGGTCACCGGGAAGCACAACCAATCAAACTGGGATCATTCAACAATTTTGTAAGCATGTGTTTGGGCTCTGTAGTGCAAGTCTAAAACACTACTTGTTTTAAAGAAATATAGCTATATCAATTGTCTTAAATTAAAAAGTCATGATAATTATTTCCAAAGAAGATACTGAAAAGCTGTTTTTCTGTGATGTGTATTAAAGTATCATTAAAAAAAAAAGTTATGAACTCCACTGTATATTATAGAATTTAATTATTAGCAGTTCTCTGTTATGATGTGTAGCAAACAAGACAGTTTGTTAATTTACAGATAATTTACAGTTTTCATAATGTATTAGTATTTTTGGGTGGCTGTGAATGCTTACAAAGTTGTTCTATTTCCTCAGATGCAAGATCTGAATACCTGATTGTTTTTTGTTTTTTTTTTCATAGGACTTTGCACAGAGTTCAGGCCAAATGGATAATCAGTTATCTCATCAGAGGGGTAGGTATCCATGAAAAGTAACATAGTAGCAATTAGGCTACAAAATATGTAGATAATACATTTTACTGTGACTGAGATATTTTTTCAATCTGCCTCACCATGAAAGGAATACAGCAGAATGATTTTACAGTTTTGGGAAAGGCTCCCTAGCTTGAAATTTGACTAAAACGTGTGTGGCTTCCAGTCTGCTATTCACAGTATCAGGAATTCAGGCTGTTAATCTTTATTAAATGCTGTGTGGTATTCTGTCCTAAAATGTGATCCTGTACGTGCACACATTTAATTAGCTGTCACAAAGACTACCTTCAAAAGTTTTAGGTTACAGAAGCCGTGGAGCCATACCAATACACCAGAGGAGCCA